TAAAAAAGATACAATAATTGTTAAATCTTTCAAAGACTCCCCACACATCGCAATCATAGAACTGGAACTGATAGAATCTTTCATCAGTGATGAGCAGATTTGGTGAAAACAGCAACAGACAAGAACAGAGTGATGTCTGGAAACAAGAATGAACCAAATCCCAAATGTTGAGCTCGCCTTGCTCTGCTCCTGTCATCAGAGCTTTCTTGAAAAGTTTTAAGTTCAAGGAGATAACAATAATCTTTGTCAGTTGCTAAATAATTAGGATGCCCTAGAGTCTTGGCAGTCTGGAGCATTCAAGTTAAATCACTCTGTATTGTGCAAGGAAGTAATTCAGGACTTAGAGAATCACAGTCATTTTATCACACATTCTATCAAACACCTGCACTAATTTATGTTTAAACTGGGAGAATATGGATCATCCTGTTACCCTGGAGCATGAGCTTTTCTACCAGGTGCTAATCTGCTGTGTCTAGCTTAGGTTTCGTTGGACAATTGAGGTCCAAGCACAGTGTTTCTCTTCCTGCTTTTTTGATACATAACCTCTAGATGGCACTGTATTATGGAGAAATAGTGCAGATAGGCAAGTTTTAAAAAAAGTTTATTTCATTTTTATACTAGCACTTTACTTGCTCATAGAAGCTCACCAAGAGTACTCTTTAGATATAGAGACAAAGGTAGAGGGACATGTTGTTATCTAATGAACCAGAAAACAATTGTGAGCACAGAATGCACTATAAAGCTTTATGTAGAAAAGATCTAAGGCAGCTCACCCTGGGGCAGTCTCTGCATCCTCACTTCTGCAGAGAATGCAAGTGGTGAGTGCTAAGAAGATTGCAGTCCCTGAGAAATAAGACAAAGGAATCTGTATGGTTGGAGAAGCTCTGAAGTTTTCAGAATTTCAAAAATTCTTTACCAAGTCAAGTCCAACCAGACAACTCCCCTCAGAGAAACTGCTCAGCTAATGAGCTGATGAAACCCATCACTTAATGAGAAACTGTCCATTAGCTTGGTTCCTTGCACAGTTCACAAGACAAAAGGTAAAACCATGAAATATAACAACATAGTAAAACATATGTTGTGAGCAGAGCTGGCTGGTGCTGGAGGTCAGACTAGATGGCCCAGGAGACCCCTTCTGACTTGCTCTGTTTCTATGTTTCTATAACATCCAAAATAAATTTAAAACACAATAAAGCAAGAAAAAAGCCTGCAACAATACAAAGATTTACATATGGGCTAAAAGCATTTTTAAAACTGAAGAGTTAAAAAGCCTACAGTGTGGACACCAGAAGACCACAACGCAGGCCCCAAATAAGCCTTTAAGAGGACATTCCACAGCTGAGATGCCACCACTGAACAGGCCCTCCCTTAGCATCCAAGTGTGCCATGGAGAGTTGCTGCTGCTGCTGTTGTTAACTTTTCCTTTCTTCTTCTTTCAGGTATAATGAAAGGGGAAAATATACCTTTTCTTTCCTATACTAAAAAAAAAAAAAAAAATCCCCTCACATGCACTCAGAACAAGTGGATGCTGAGGGATGCAGGATGTTTACATAGATGGGGGTGGGGGGGTGTGGTTAGAAAGGCTGCATGTGGAAAAGGGAGAGAAAGAGGGAAGGAGGATGCCAGTGACTGTGAAAGGGATACATGGGGGGAGTGTGCAGAAGGATATTTGCTATTCATGTATTGGTAAAAAAAAATGCCAATTAATATAATAAAATCCCTAAGCAGCTTACTGAGTAAAAGTACTAAAATCACTGTTAAAATACATATATAATACGATATAATACCAAACAATTGCAACTGATAACAACAAAGGTAACATTAAGAGAAAATGGAATTGACATGTTGACCTATAAGCCAGGGAAAGTTTGTATAAATCCGTGTTTTCTCAGCCCTGCGCTGTGCATCTGATTTTGTTCCGGTCATTTTTGGCTTTGACCCTGTACAGCTCTAGGCTGCAGCCCCAGAAAGTTCTCAGCTGCAACTTTCTGTTGCAGGGTAGGCATGGAAGATTCGAATACCAGTTCCTCATGTTCTGAAGAGTGATCCTTATTAACCATCCAGAGGGAAGCAATCGGAAATTCTGAGGTCATCTTTTTGCAAGAAAAAAATCATGACAGCTTTTTGCAAAGTTCTGCACTTTCAAATCCTAGGCAAATGTTTTCTTCAATGGTTAGATTTCTTTTCCTGTTAGGCTTTCATCTGAAAGACTGAAAAGAATTCCCAGTAGGTACTCTTTGCAGTGCTATTTCTACTTTTTCTCATCTCTGCCCCATTTTGTTGGTCAGAGTAATGCCTTATCCACAGGGGCCCAGGAACAGTTCCTTGAAACATATTCAAGTACGGAATGGGGGTGAGAACTTTTCTGTAATAAAGTTGCACTTTTAACACGCACAAGGTCTCTTTTGAATTGTGCTAACATTTGGTTACCTTGGGGGAGAGTTATCATGAATGTCACTGTGGCCTCTTGGGTAAAGGAACTGAAGGGAAAGTCAAACATCCCGATCTTATTTGCCAAGTCGCAACTGCAGCATCAAGTCACAACTAAGCACCTGCTGTTTTCATTGCTGCAGTAGAGTTTCAAAAACCTCTCATCTGAGCCTGTGGGAGGCAGAGGGGGGGAGGCAATTTGAGGGTGGCAACCCTTTTGAGACTTGGGCCCCCAGATGGTGTTGGTCTACAACTCCCATCATCTGTTACTGCCAGCCATGTGACTGGGGATGATGGCAGTTGCCATCCTGACACATCCAAGAATGAAAGGTTGGATTAAAGTTCACTACCGGTGGGACAGCCTTGCCTTCCAATGTTCTTGTGCAGAAAAAGTCTAGCTAACATCCTGATGCAAACACCAATCGTGCTAATAAAAGATATAAGGATAAATTAAATAATTGACTATTTGTGGTCCTTCCATGGTTCCTCAAAATCTGGTTCATAGGATTTAGCTCTAACTGAGCTTCAGTGTAGGAGTGGGAAACCTTTCCATGTATTTCAGTGGAAAGATTGGGCCCAAATTCTTTTACATATCTCACAACTCTCATGCTCCCAGGTAAACATGCATAGGCTGGTAAGCCTATTTGTGAGTAATTATTCCTAGGATTGCATTACCTGGCTGTAAATTTGTGCACACCTACCTAACAGTAAACCCTGTTGAAGACAATGGGACATACTTTAAGTAAATAGATCAGGATAGTGCAGTAAGGGTGCAGAGAAATGATGTGGTAAGGTGATTAGCGTGTTGGGCTAGAGCTGGGGACACCCAGTTTTGGATCTCCACTCAGCCCAGGAAGCTTCCTAGATGATCCGAAGTCAATCATTCTCAACCTAACCCTACCTCACAGGGCTGTTGTAGATAGGATTGAAGGATGGGGAACTAAGTGGGTACACTTGAGCAGTGGAATCTGAATATAATAAATCATGATATTTGTTGTGCTGTGAGCCTCCCAGAGAGCCTTCTGGATATGGGGAGGCATACAACTGCAATAAATAAATATATATCAGAACCAGTGTCATGTGGGGAGCAGAGTGTTGCACTGAGAACCCAGGAGATCTGAGTGCTAGTCCTCACTTAGCTATAAAGCTCACTGAGTGACATTGGCTATTCACGGATTGTTAACCTAGCCCAACTCACAGGCTTGTTGTGAGGATAAAAACAGAGGAGAAGGATATATAAGCCATCTTGGGTTTCTTGCCAAAACAACAACAACTACCCAGAGTATAGAAATACTAAGTAAATGCATGTATTATTGGGCCCATTCAAGTTTCCCTGTTCTAGTGCCCTCCAGAAGTGTTGGGCTGTGTTATGTGGTCTCGGCTCCAAGTTATAGCAACACTATGAATGAAAGCCCTCCAAAATGTCCAGTCCACAACAGCCCTATTCAGCCCCTCCAAGTTCAAGGCTGTGGCTTCCTTTGTGAAGTCAGTCCATCTCATATTTGGTCTTCCCTTTCACCTTCTGCCTTCGACTTTCCCTAGCAAGATTGTCTTCTCCAGGCAGCCTTGCCTTCCCGGGATGTGACCAAAGCATGGCAGCCTCAGTTTTGTCACTGGACTGCAATGCGCTTATTCCCAAAGCCAGCATAAACAAATACAAAAAGGCACAGCTGGGCACTTTATGTATGAGTTCATCATAAATAAAGCCAACTGGGTAGCATATAAGAATGTGCTTAATAAGCATCATCACAAGCACTGGTGGGTCCATTCAGCCTTTCCCAATCAGGAGCCCTCCAGATGTGTTGGGACTACAACTCCCATAATCCCACAGCCAGTTGTAGTCCCAACATTAGTTTAGGGAAGGCTGGTAGCAATCTGTGAATCTGCGCCCGCTGCTTCCAAGCAGTCCCCTCCGCGCATGCGCGTTGCCAGACCGCGCCGTCTCCCCGGCAACGGGAGAAGCTTGCCGGGCCGGTCCTCCAACCGCCGCCGGCGATGGGGAAAGGCGGGAGGCGCGGCGGGAGGGCTGGACGGAGACCGGCCTGAGAGGCTCTTCGTCCGCCGCTCCCGGAGTGAGCGGAGCCGCTGCGCCCACCCAGGTGAGGGACCCCCCTTCTTCTCCCGGCAATCCCCTTCAGTGCCTCCTTTCTAAAGGAGAGGTGCCGGGGCTCACGCCTTCCGCAGAGGCTCTCCCACGGCCCCGGGACTCCGAGGCATGTTGGCTGGCAGCGAGAGAGCCTTGGAAGGGAAGGTGCTCTGCGTAGGCTCAAAGGCCCTCTTTCTCTGTTCTGCCCCCTCGTTTCTCACATGATCCTCCTCTGCGAGTGTTTGCCTCTGCCTATGCTCAGAGGCACTATTTCTCTCCCCTGCTTTTCTTACATGCTTCAGAGCTCTAAGGAAATCCTCTCTGCCTATGCTCAAAGGCACTCTGTCACCTCTCTTTTTGGCAAACGCTCTTTTAAACAAGCCGCTTCTTTTAATTATGTGTCTTCTATATAAATGAATAAGTAAAAAAAAAACTTGATATCTCCCTTCCCTCCCCTGTTTTCACAGATTGGATAAATGCAAAAATGGAGAAGACAGAGGTGCTGCAAGAACAAATGATGGCTAGGTAGGTCAATGGTTAATCATCTTTTGGTAGTTCTTGATATGTGCACATGTTCATTAAGATGTAGGACATAAATCCTTACATTTTAAGGTAGCAGAGTTCTTTGGTCTTTATTTCATTATTGCTAAATAACACCTGGAGAGCAGGAATAGTCAATTTCTGCTTCTTTGGGGGTTTGCTCTATTCTTCAGGCAGTAGTTGGAGGGGCACAAGATTATTTTACCATGTACTACATTCCTTCACAATTGGGCAGGCCACGTAAGAAAATGTAGCACAAATGGTTTCACTGCATAAACAAGGTCACCTGTTCAAGGATGCTCCTAAGGAATCCTAAGGAAGTTCCTATTCCTAACTTGTACCAGAAGGCAACACAATAGAACTGGTGCAGGACAGTGGCTAAGAGAGGGAACTAAAAATCAGCAAGTTCCTGGTGTAAATGTTTCCTGTGCCATAAACTCACCTGAGCAAACCATCCTCTCTCAGCCTCAGCCTCCGTTCTGCTACATCTGCAATATGGGGAACAGTAATACTGGCTGACTTTACAGGATTGTTGTAAAGGATTGCAACTGTATAATACATGCAAAGCCACTTGTAGACACTCTATGAAATTTAAATATTATCAATAAAATTGTATATAAATGCATTATGTTTATTTGCTATGACATGACAGTCAAAATTTGAAGAGAGATCAGGAATATGGAATATATCCCTTAATATTTTTGAAGACAGCTCTTTGACCAGTGAAACTGGGTTGAGGGACAAATTTGACAGTACTGTACTTTGATTGAAATTATGTTAGAGTTTCCAGGAACCAGTGACATTTGCTTTGTGGGAAGATTTAGTCTCTGGTTGACCATCTTTGATTAAGGTTTGAGTTGCAGTGGGGACCTTTGGTTCTTCAGGTGTCAGATTCCAGCTGCCTTCAATCCCGGTCACCATGGCCAGTGGACAAGATTCTGGGAGTTGTAGTGCAACAACTTCTTAAGGACCACAGGTTCTGCACTCTTGGTTTAGGAGCATGTAGAATACCTAAATGCTAGTTTCGTCCCTTCCAGTTTCTCCCTTATAGCCTCCACTCAATCACCTGCCAACTCCAGCAGTAGCCTGTAAGCAGCGTTGAATCATACTGTAATTCCGTAACAACTAATGTTGTTAAGGAATTTACTAGCCAAAACCCTAAACTATGCTTTGTTCCTAGTTTATAATTGTATCTAGTAAATCAATACTAGAGCCTCACGTTAGACACACTAGGATTGAAGGGCTGATTCTGGCATCTAATGAGAGGAGACAAGAGGGGAATTCAATAGTCTACACATATTCCCAATTTGCTGAGTTTAACAAGTTAGCACTGTTATTATATCCAAAAGAGATTCCCTATGTTCAATGGGGATTGCTCCCAGATAAAATTGCAAAGAAATGCAACCTTTGCATTTATGAAACACTTTTCTGAAGTACTTCAGATATATTGCCCCTTTCTTAAACCTGACCTGTAAGTTTGTTATCATATTATAGATTGAGGATGGAAGTGCTAAGGTTGAGAGCTAACAGTTTGCCTTAAAACTTCTCCATGCTCTTATGGGTGAGCTGTGACTTGAGCTGGCTCATAGCCTGTGCTTTCAGCTGTGACGGTTCTGGTAACTACAATCGCCAGCGATCATTCAATTTATTCCACTTTTCTCTAAATAGGACACGATATTTGAAAGGCTCTGTAGGATATGCATGAAGGTTGGATAAAATCAAATATGGAGAGCTATACTGTTTACTCTAAACTGTGTAGGGTTTTTTGTTTTCATCATCTGAAATCTTATTAACCTCATGGCATTGCACAGTGTTTAACTGTGAGAAAGGCCAAATAGGAACAAAGGAGAAGAAAATATGAAATAGCCATACGTATATACCCTAAGCTGCCTGTTAGGATCATGGGAGATTCTAGAGATTCAGAAAGAAGGCATATGGTGCCACTGTTTCAGAATAACTAAGTCTGTTTGCTATAGCTACAGTGTTTCATGTAACTCTGTTTAAGATTTCATTTGTTAGGCAAACCATGAAGCAGTAATATGACTTGCTCCTTTTAATGAAGTATGCATCCTTAATTGACCCACAGTTCTTGTTGAAATTACTTTTCAAGACTGCTCAGAATAGGAGAGACGTCTTTTGTTTAAAACCTTTAGCATTCATAACCTTCTTAATTAGGAAATGTTATGATCTGGAAATTGTGTTGTAAAACTTTCACCCCCCATCAAAAGAAATCCTGTTGAAAAGATATTTTTTGTTCATCACCATCTAAGTGGAGTACTTTAGAAGCCCTGTTGTAAATGGAATAGGAAAAGTGTGTCATAAAGAAGACACTTCCTGATCCAGAAGATTAAGAAAGAAGGAGCAAACAATTCTCCAGAGGTGAAGCTTCTGACCTACTGCAGGTTTTTTTCTTTAAAAAAATGTAGAATTTTGTAGCTGTATAATCTTGTATACGTTATACTTTTATATCATACTGAACAAGTTTTGCTCAGTTTTACTCAACTTTTAGTCAATGTCCATGGGAATGTAGTGTTATTGTAATATAGTCCAGTTGGAGGCCTTCAATCAAGGATTTGCTTGATGATTTGCAAATTAATCTGGGCAAACAACATTCCTGAGCTTTGCTGTTCCTGATCATGTGAGGTTTACCTTTCTGTCCATTACTTCCTCCAGTTCTCCTTCCTCATTCTGACCTCCTAAAAACTGAGAAAATGCCTTATATTTGGTCATACTTTTGGTTCATTTAGCCCAGTGTTTTCTGTTCAGATTGGTAGTGGCTCCATTGGTCCCATCCAAATGTCCTTTGCATCACTTAGTATTAACTGGAGATGTCAAGAATCACATCTGGTCAAAAAATGTGCCCTACCGCTAAGCTGTTCTTTCATTCCTCTGTACCATTCCCTCTGGCCACTCTCCTTTCCTAACCATTCCAACTTCCTTTTGCCTGCTGCATCCTCCTCTCCTGCGCCTTGACTTCTTGCACTACTTTCTCATGGATCCTTCTGCCTACCCTGTCCCAACTCCTTTCTAAGGTTGCTCTCAGACAAGGGAGGCTTTTTTGAGAGGGAAGTGAATGAGAGGAGTCCACATGTTGCCATTGTTTGTTGTGACTATCCCGTGTTTTTGTGACTTTAATGAAGCTGTCCTTGATTCAGTAAGGAGGAGACTATCAAGTTTCCAAGGAAAGCCCTTATCAAAGAGAGACTGAATGCCAGATCTGGTTTTAAACACTATGCATGCAACATTTATTCTATGATATAAAGAATACAGATGTATAAGAATATAAGTTCAACAATCATCAGCAACAGTATCAAGAGGCCTCATTCACACTCGCATTCATGCAACACTCATATTCACAGTCAATAGACCCTCTCGGTGATCCATCAGGACTGTGGGTGACCAGTAGCAGAGCTGTTCTGGCACACATGGGAGCTGGAAAGCCCAGGCTATACCTTAAAGTTGACTCTATCAGCTTAGTCCAACTGGATTGAACAGTGAACTCTTCTGAGCAGAGCTGACACAGAACGTGATGGTCCTCATCTTGAACACACACACTCTCGTCACATTCCATTCTCTCTCTGGATGGTACAGTGTGGGCTTATCTTTTCTGTTATGTTCCATTCTCCAACCACTCCTGGCCTCAGTTTTCTCAGTCTGGTCAGTCCCATCATGGTTTTTCATTTTCTTTTGGGTCTTAGGCCTTCAGGAACCCATGCACACTGTGACATTTTCTTACTGTTTCGTCAATCTTTTTCTTTGACACACAAAATCCTTTAAGGGGAAAAACACAGAACAGCTGCACAATGCCTTCTGACAGGTAGCAGACCTCCTAAGAAGCCCTCCTAAGACCTGAGCAGCTCATTTAGCCACAGCCCTTCTGCCTGCATTGACCTTCTTTAACATTAGGGTAGCTTAGCCAATCATTACCAGAGGATTCAGCTTCACCAAATCTCTCAGTTTATAACAAAGAACAAAGTTGCCCATTCCTCCCTAACCTGTTCTAGCATACAAGAACATACCATCCGAAGCCAAAAGCTGAAGAAATAGAAATAGAAGTTGTGTCACTGATAAGGAAAATGCTGCAACAAATCATGACCTTGAACCCTGTCCCTGGAGTATTTTCTTCTGTAAGAAAATCACTATACCAAGGCCAGAGTAGTAATTCTGGGTGCAACAGAAAATTATTAGCAATTGCAGGTTCGTCTAAGAGGAGTTCTTTTCTCTCCCCCCCCCCCCTTTCCTTCTTTAGCATACTTGGCTGCTTTAATTCATTTCCTTTAGCAATTTTGTGCTGTCAGATTTTCACAGCGGGGTTTGGCTGTGCACAGCTTGCCATCCAACCTGGTGTGCAAACAGAGCCCCGCTGTGGCTGTTGAAAGCATAATTCAGGAGCACTGAGAAACAGAAGCCAAAGAGTTGGTGCAAGGACACACAGCCCGTTTTCACTCTGCTCTTAATTGCAGAGCTCTCAGACGGACGGTGTCATGGCTGTTAATCAGGAGGAACAGTCAAGGAACAAGGCGGATTGCCAGCATGCAGCAGACTAAGGAAGGGGAAGTTGCTTGGGCAAGCAGACAAGACTTTGGGTACTTGGAAGCTGGCAGAAGCTTGGTCTCGCTTCTAAAGACAGATTGTTGAAGCCAGTGTTGAAGACTTTATAGGGAGAAGTGCAATCTCGCTGGCCATGTGGTGTGTAGCAGACTCTTACGATGCAATCTCATACAATTTTAGGCACAAACCACCACTACCACCCTATGACTCATACATGCCAGGACTTGTAGTTCAATTTACTGCCTGAACCTGCATAGGAGTACATCCTTAGTCAGCGACCCTCAGGGTTTCCCTCCAGTGTGCAGTACTGGTAGCACCTAAGGGCTCTCGATAATAGTAGGCAACAATGTCTTCTGTCAAGCTGCCATAGTTGATGCAAGAACTCAGTGTATAAATTAAATGTATGCATTACTTTTTTATCCTATCCTTCCTTCAAGGAACTCAGAGTGGCATATATAATTTTCCCTGCCCATACTATCTTCATACCAACCTTTGAACTTGGCTAGACTGAGAGATAGCAGCCATCTGTTTTAGCCTACCCATGACATCATCAGGGAATGCTTTTCTCCAGGGACCTTGGATACATACTGACCTGATTTAACTTGATTTTATTATAACAAGAAGCTTCCATGGGCCAATTTCCTCATAGAGCTTTTATTCATCTAACATTTTGAATAGTTGAGTCACAGTGGTGGTAGGTTTGGCATGATGTGAGAACCTGGTGAGGGTGAGTTGCTGGGCTGGTTGACAAGCACCTTGGTTTAAAACCTTTGTTGCCTCAGACAAAGATCCATCAAACACTACTATGCATGTGGGGAAATTATATTAGTCAAAGACTCAGATCACACACAACACTAAATCTTTGTTATCTTAAAGCATGGCTTGTTTAATAAGCCAGGATTCATCTCACAGATTTTTAAAACTTCCATTTCTTCATGCAGGTGTTTTTACACATTCATTCTCTGTTCTTTGTATAGCTGTTTTAAACTTTTTAATCTTTCTCTGGTTTTATGGTATTTTATTGTATTTTGTTGTCTTGCTTTATGGATTGTTGTAAACTGCCCAGGGAGCTTTAGCTGTGGGGTGGTATAGAAATGAAATAATGGTAAAATTGTAATGGTTTTTTGTTGATTTTACTCTACATTCTTTTTTAATAGACAACTACTATTCCAAAGCTGGAGGACTGGAAAGACATCTCCAGTTCTCTTACTAATGGCCACCTCCTGAAATAGGCCTGGGAAAATGAATGCTCTACAAGGACAGCCCTAACACCAAGTATCATGACTCGTGGTGCTCACACGAGGGCAATTGATTGTGCAGTTCAATCCTGCACCCACGGGGCTGCCCAGAGCTGCTTCCACCACCAACCAACCAGTTGTGGACTAAACCTTGCAGCATTTTTAGCCATTGGCCATTCATGTTGTGGTTGAAAGGAGTTGAAGTCCAAAACATCTGCAGGCTAACAAGTGGATTTAGTTAAACTGCAGTTTAGCAATATGTCTGAATAAATAAATTGGGCCAGGGACTAAGAAAGAACATACAGATAAGTGACCTAGTTATTTTAAGCTTGATTTTAGAAAAAGTGCCATGATTTGGATTAAAATGTTTAATTTTGTGTTGTACAATTAAAGGAACAAATTAACTCATTTTTAGATCTATCCCTTGCAATGCTGAGCTTCAAGAACTAATGCATCAAATTGACATAATGGTAAACAACAAGAAACTAGAATGGCAAAAGAAGATGCAAGCATTAGAAGTGAGAATGTCTATTCGGGATCAAGAATTAGCAAATGCCCAAAGCAAGTTAGATCAGAAAGGCCAAGAGGTAAAGTATACCACCATTTTTCTTGATAAAACCTGATTAGTGGAGCTTTGTAGTTTCCTTTGTGAATACACTTGTTCAGTAGACTTACCAAAGGCCAGAATCCTCTACCAAGTAATGTTCACTTAGATACAATCAAGCTTAATCCCCTAGAACCTATTTACATGTAGATATATAGGTTCTAGTTCACATACATCTTCAGTGTGTGTAGAATGTAATTTAACTGGGAGATACAATTATTTGAAAATGGGATCTGCACAGCTATGCAGTCCAGTCTGTATCTGACAGATAACATGACTAAGACTGACTGGCATCCTTACTGTAGAGGTGTGGGTTGGGGTGTACCAGGCACAGAAATCCACCCATAGAGATGGTTGCAATACGCAAGTCCTCCTTCTACAACTACACCTGTCATAATGAAAGATAGCTGAGATATACATACTAAGTTATACATACTTAGTTTGGGATAAAGAATGTGATCTGATGTGGCTGCTTCAAACCAATGCTGCAGTATCCCAGCTCATCAATGGAACATACTCAGTGGCCTTTAGTAAGTCACACTCTCTCCCTAGTAAACCTAAAGTAATGACAATTATTTATAGTCAGGTCTGCAGTGAAAGAAATAAAGATTCTGCAGCACAATCCAGATTAAAAACACTAGAAAAATTGACATTATTAACAGTATCCACCTGACATAGCATTTAGGAGGGGGTCACAGTTAGAGTCACTGAAGCAGTCAGCGTGAACTTAAGTGGACTCCAGGGGATGGTGGAGGACAGGAAGACCTGGGGGAATGTTGTCCATGGTGTCGCAATGGGTCGGACATGACTTCGCAACTAGCAACAACATCAACAACACAGTTAGTAGAGTATTAATGAGTGAAATGTGTTCTGTAAGATGTCAAAATGACTATGGACCACTAACCATAGTCATTTTCTATGGTTTCTAATACTGAAGCATTATCTACTTTGGACCTGAAATCAAAGTGAGATTGCAGAGTTGGGAGAGGGTACATCTACACTAATTTTAAGGGGTTAGGTCCAAATTTCTGTATACTTCAGGGTGAAGTGAAGAGAAAGCAAATCAGAAGCTACTGGTAAATCCTAAAGTAGTTTGTTGTAGTCTGGCAAGGTTTTCCAGCAATTAATTTTTGCTACCTTTCTCCCTCAGAATATATAATGGAAACAACTAGTACTTTTTAAATCAAATCCCAGATGGAGTTTTTGTTCATTGCTTAGATTTGGGTTTGATCCAGAGAATGCAAGTCTGCTTCAGCACAGGGCATTCATTCTGAAATTGTCACTTTTTGTTCCCTCCTATTTGGTGGGTCTATCTGGGTGCTTCCAGACAGACTGTTTCTAGAGATATCAGTCATAATATATTGCACAGCTACCATGCGTTTTCTTCCTCAACAGATATTCTGGGGTTGGAAACATGTTGGAAGAAATGGTGGGAAAACATGAACAGTTAAAAGTGGACAACAGCATTGTCAGTTCCCTGGCCCTGCAGAAAACCTTTTGTAAATGAGGCAGGGCAATGCCTTAATAAAACCCTTATCTAGGATGCAACTATCAAATCATTGCTCTTCTGCCTTTCCCCCCACACTTCTTCCAGTTCTTTGGAAAACTCAAAATATGACTGTTTAGAATGAATAACAGCATACGCTCTGTTGGTAAAGATTGCCTTTAAATTTCTCTTTGAAGGCAAATTTACTTTCCCATTGATGTTTGATGAACATTGGACATCACATGGAATATAAATTCCTTTTCAAGCAGGGGGCAGGGCTTCTCCAGGTGACATACCTGCTGCATCTCTTGTAAATTTGCCATCTGGGAAGTCTCCATTTAAAGTAATGGACCAATTAAAGAACAGCAGAATGCAATGAATTAGAAAGGAGGCGGAATAATTGTCCATTCTCCCCAAAAGAAGACCTGCCATCAGAGTGCAAACAATCTCAGAATGTTCAGAGAGGCATCTCTTAAGAACTTCGTTGGAATTGTACACAATATAACCATATATTATTCAAGGATTTGACTTGTGAATACCTGCAAATATTGGCTCTAAGTCCAGATATTAGGAACAAACTACTAAATACTAAATGTGTCATTGCAAGTAGCATGAATGTTTTGCCAATTTTAAATAACAGTTGCTTGGGACCCAGCTATGATTGGGACCACAAGAGTGGAAGCTTAATGTTTTCTCTTTCTGCCACAACTCTGAAAAAATCCACACACATGCAAAACTGCTATTTTTACTACAATTAAAATTAATAATATTTTATAGTAACATAAAACAAAGAAATAAAATATTTATTAGCTTTCAACCCTACTTGTCATTCATATGATCTTACTTGTGCTCATATATCTTCTCAGTATATCACTACATGCCAGTCTCTTTGCCTAGCTTGGTCAGCTTTAGAGTAAGATATTTAATGAGTTCAGCCTTAATCAAATGTAAAAGGTTTGAATAAAAAAGAAAGATAGCATTTTAGGAGATTCACAGTTGCCTTTTATGATCAAGAGGTAGTAAAATTCTCACAGTTGCAATCCAAATAATGGGAAAATAATATATTCTCTGCCCAGTGATAGACTGACGTGTGCATATGACTGTTCATTAATGCAGTAGTGTATTGACTTGTGTTAAGTTTGTACAATTTATTCTGCTTCCAAGACATAATCCAGAAAAATAATTGTAGATCACAAGCACAATATAAGTCAACAGTGTGATATGGCTGCAAAAGGGGCAAATGCTATTTTTTGTTGTTGTTTAGACACAAAGTCGTGCCTGACTCTTCTCATGGACAACATTCCTCCAGGTTCCCCTGTCCTCCACCATCCCCCAGAGTACACCCAAGCCCACACCCACCTCTTCAGTGACCAATGCTATTTTAGGATGCATTAAATCCCATGGAGCACTAGTTCCCCTTTACTCAGCTCTGGTTAGACCTCATCTGGAATATTCTGCCCAGTTCCAGGCATCACAGTTTAAGATTGATATAGAGAAGCTGGAGAGGATTCAGAGGTGGGCAACAAGGATGATCCAGGGTCTGGAAACAAAGTCCTATGAAGAGAAATTGAAAGAGTTGGCTATGCTTAGCCTCAAGGAAAGAAGAGTGAGGGGAGACATAATAGCACTCCACAGGTACTTGAAAGGCTGACAAAAAGAAGAAGGACAGATCTCTATCATTCCAGTGTGCAGGACATGGAATAATGGGCTCAAGTTACAGGAAGCCAGATCTCAATTAGATATCAGGAAAACAATCCTGATGGTTAGAGCAGTATGACAATGGGACCAATTACCCATGGGAGGTTGTGGGTTCTCCCACACTGGAGGCATTTGAGATGCAACTGGACAGCTGTTTGAGAAGGATGGTTTAAATTGGCGTTCTGCACTTAGCCCTCTGTCCCCTTCCAACCCCTTGATTCTATAAATCTTAACAGATTGCATAAAATTATTTCCTGGGAAGGATATACATTAACTGTTCAAGAACTACTGTGGAGTAGAAAATACTTCCTTCTATACCCATAGAAGCAGTTAAATAAATCCAAATATTTACATGCATTAAATTTATATGGATTTATTTGTCCCAATATAATGGTGGTGGAAGAAAGTTCTTTGGCTTCTTTTTAATAATTTTAATTATTTTTGTTATTGTTGATGTTAACTCTGTGCTTATTTAATTACTCTGGCATTTGGAATGGATACTGAAAATAATATCTATTTCAAGTACAGGTTGGACTACTAAGACAGAAGCTGGACAGCTTGCAAAAAACAAAATTTGAGATGGCTCAGAACTATGATTCTCAGCTTCAGGCCCTGAAAACTCAAGTAAGGAAAAAGTCAAATTCCTGTTTTACAGTACTTGCAATATTTCAAGGTTAGTTTAATAAATGGGTGACTGCTTTGTGTCTAACTTGATAACTCTCTCTAACATGATGTGTTAAGGAAACAACCCTGGGGCTTGCCCAGTTTGGGCTCTTTGGAAGCCTTCGAATTTGGAGGCTTCTGACATTTCTGTGCCATTCCCAGCAAAAGCCAGCAGGATGAGAGGAGTGGTGGAGGCAATCCTCCATTCTTCACATTGTTGTGTGTGTATGTATGGCACATAAGCATATTGGCGACTGCTCTGAGCATTGGATGCCCATGCCCAGTTACTGCTGTGGCCCTTTCCACTAGTGGCATGTGGCCCTGCTGTGGTTACCCAGAGGCAAACTGGCACTTGGACCAAAACAGTTTCTCCATTCCTGCCTTAAACAATTACTTCACTGGGGGTAAGGTGCAAACAGCATTAGTTGTTCTAGAATAATCTCAGAAAGCAAGCTGCCATAAAAGGACCCTTATGCTAGACACCATCATTCAGATTTATTTATTGATTGATTTGCAACATGTATATACTTCTCCATGTCTAATTAGATTCCAGAGCAGTGTTTAATAAAACATCAAAAGAATAAAACCAGAATAACCAGTGAAAACTGTAGTTGGTCATTCAAGGAAGGATTATTGAAATAAAGTTTTCAGAAAGTGTTGAAAGCATCACGCTTGACTTCCATAGTAAAAGGTGTTCCATAGAAAGGGAGCCACTACACTGCTCTTTTCCATGCAGAACCACCTCTGCATGCCCTCGGATAACCTCAGTGACTGGGCAGTTGTAGCTTTCACACCAGCAAAATGGGAATAATAATATGACATACATTACAGAGCCATTGTAAAGATGACGGATGGGATGTGAAATGTTTTGAATACTTTAAAAGTGATACACACGCACACCAGGTCTAGTATCTGCTGGGGTTTATTCTTGCTATCTGATTGAATGGTGTTGCTGCCTTTCTCACCCATGTCATTCCTTATATATAGCTTTCAGAGATATAACCTCATAAAGCAGCTTATAAAATGGCTTTGAACACAAGTACAAAAACAGAAGAAACAGACAAAAACAGCACTATGATAATTAAGGAAAATTAAACCAAGTCTGAGTATGGAGAGTGCAATATACATTAACTCCCTGATCAGGAAAAACCAGTTTAAACAAATGATGTTTAATCCCCACCACCACCACACACCCTTTCTTTAAAGGCCAGTACTAACAAAGTAAGGCACAAAGGAGCAGGAAAGGGTTTCCATCATTTAGGCTACCCACCCCTTTGGCAGTCTTTCTCCTAGTACCTTCCAAATAGCAATAAGTAGCCCACCTGTACAATCTCAGTGTAAATCTTAATAGCTACTGCTTGATAACACATGAGCCCCAAAACACCTTTTTCACATCTATCAGATGCTTTATTTTTATTTAATAAATGTATATACAGATTACTATATGAGAGCCATTGTGATGTAGGGGTTAGTGCGTTGGACTGGGGACCAAGGGGATACAGGTTCTAGTCTCCACTCAGCCATGAAGCTGCTGGGTGACTTTGGGTCAGTCACTGATTCTCAGCAGGTTTGTTAAAGGGTTGATCTTGTGAGGATAAAATGGATCTATGTATGTAGCCTTCAGTTCCTTACAAGAGAAAAAGTGGCATATAAATGTAGTGTAATAATATTATAATAATGATTTTTTTTAAAAAAAAGTCCATGGGTGGCAACTTGGATATAACATAGTGAAAGTTTTCATTTTAATTGAAATAGTATTCTTAATCTTCAGATGTTTTCACATATGTCAATAATTACACATTAAATGCAGCATTTAACATGTCTGGTTATTGTTGTTTTAAGTAACAGTCCCCTAGGCGACTGCTCTAGTCCTGGAATGGGCTTGCAGTTATTCCTCCCTCTTCATGTATGGTCCTGGCAAAAATTGTTTCCTGCAGAAGAGGAATTGTTGTTGCCGCCAGCTTGTTATTGGATTAAACAGTTAATCCAGCTCTCCAGTTCTGAAGAACCATTAAAACTGTCAACACAAGATGGCACTAAACAAATGCAGAACAATTCATACAAATGCTTAGGCAAGAATCCCTTTACATGGCCTGGCAGCATCAAAACTATCAAGGCAATCTGTGTTTAACAGGGTAGTTAATTAACATCACAAGTTATGTGAAAGCTGAGCCATGTTCATCTTGCAGCCATTTTGTGGTAATAACTGGTAATTTATTTCACCTTTTTTTTTTTTTTTTTTTAGTTTGTTTGACTAATTAGAATGCTTAAGCTTAGCTCTCAGTCAATTACTCCTTCGGTATTTTAAGGACAAAATAAGATGTGACACATATTTCATTTTCAGTTTGTCAGGCTGACAAAAAGCTATGAAAAGCTACAGCTGCACCAGTTAAAACAAAATAAAGGTCACGATATGGAGAAATGTACAGAAAACCAAGAGGCATCATGGCAACTGAGCAGTCTAAACCAGAAACTAGAAGTAAGTTTCTATATCTGAAGCAGTGCCTTCTCCTATATGTTGCTCTCTATACTCTCTTTCTCAGAAGAGAGACAGAGAGTGCAACCCAGGTGATGCTCTTTGAACTGTTTTGATACCATTGTGCATAGTATGCTGAACCTGGGGCTGGATTTAGCGAAGACTCAGTGAGGATCATTACTAAGGATGAATCCCTGAAAGACAGAGGTCCTGTGGGTAGGCAGTTCTTATGTCCAGAAATGAGATATCTAGTCTATTCCAAATGGAGTTACTGGGCTCATGGATCTGCTCTTACATTTTCATACAAACCTAAATACTAACACAGCTGTACCTAGCGGACCTGTGAGACATGCACCATGAAACTAAGCTGGAGGAATTACACACCAGTAGTGTTCGAGAGAGAGAGAGAGAGAGAGAGAGAGAGAGAGAGAGAGAGAGAGAGAGCTTAGTGATGTAATACATTTTTTGCATGAAAGGCATTTTGAACATTTCAGTGCTACTTATTACCAATGTTTATCATTAGCTAAATATGTACTGGAAGAACTTTGAGTCCTCCCAAGTTTTACCTGATTAAATATATCTAATGGTCATCATGTTTTTTTTCAAGTTCTCAGTTTTCCATTTAACATGTACATTTACCACTGATTCACATTTGTTGTTAATTATCAGAAGGGGCTTATACATGTAATTTCACTACTTTTTTCATGAATATGAACAGTCTACACTGTGATTAATTTGTTTGTGTTCCTTCATTTTAATTTTCCAGGAATTTAGAGCAAAATCAAGAGAATGGGATAAACAAGAAACACTCTGTCAAAACCATCTAGTTTCTTTAGATGAGCAGCAAAAAATATTGTCTGAGAAATGTAATCTCTTTCAGGTACTGTTTTTTCTGTTTTTGGAGAAGAATTGCAAATAAACAAGTTATGCAATCCAGATAAATGCATGACTAAAACCATGTTTCCTAAGCCTTAAAAATGATTATATGGATCATTGCAAATCAGGCATATAATGTTTGAATATTACAATAGTGTAGTACTAGTAAATTCTTTTCTTACAGAAGTAGATAACTATCTATAACTTGCCATATAAAAATGAAAGTGTCTTGCTATCTAATGTAGGGGATGTTGGTTTGGAAATTTGTCAATGCTTATTAGCACTCTTGTAACCAGAAGAACCATTTTGGCAGTGCAAGGGAAGATTATGATGATGTACTTGCAAAGCACATATAAAAAGTACAGTGATTTGGATGATCCATGATCAGATCTCCTGACATATTTTTAATAAGTACCTGTATGATTTTCCTTTCATAGCTAATAGGAGCTCAAGAGTGAGATGTGGATTTGTATCAGGGATATGGCAGAGGAACAGAGTTAACAGTTTGGGCCACTGCCCTAATATACATAGGGAAAGAAAAGGGCATTTAGAAAGCAAATCAGGGAACATACATGCAGTTGGGTCCTAAGTTTAGAAGAAGAAAGAGCTCCCTGGAACAGGGAATGAATGTTGTAAGATATGATTTTGTGCATGCAAATGTCCCCCTCCTGCAAGGAAGAACAGGCAACTGATGCTATAATAACTGGTCTTCAGTGTTTCTGTGCTGCTTTTTCAATAATGATTGCACCTCCCATATAGTAATGAACTTATTTATCATTCTGCAACACAAGAGATATAAACACACATCTAGAGAAGCTAGACCAAAAGCACTTGGCTGATTAAATACTTTTCACCCTTGCCTGCAGGCAGTTCATAAATCTTTAATGTGGGGGGGGGGGGGGGGTTGCGGCTTTTTACTCCTGAGTAGCTATGCCACCATCCGTGTATTGATTTTTTAGTCTGACCATGTGAGCATTCAACATGTGACTTACAGATCTGCTTCACACACAAAAACAACCTGTGTTTTGTGGGAGCTGTTCAAGAGCAAGCAAGTGTGCTGGCTTTTGTCACCTTGCCACTTTTGCTTTGCATCTGGTTCAGAAAACAACCCAGGAACCATTTCTGAGTGTTTGGTATGACATTAAAAACCCATGGTTTCTTTTTGGGTTGTTCTTTGGGTTGTTCCCCCTTCAACAAGCACTGATGCTAAGCAGACACAGTAAGCAGGCAGAAGCTCCAATCAGCCATGGGTTAATTAACTGTTAGTTGTTACATGTAAACCAGGTCTAGTCTTCACTTACGTTAGGGGAAAGGTCTTTTTAGAAATTTCTTTTAAATTCTGTGAAACTCCTAGACCTAGTTCACATGAGCGAACTAAACCTGTCCATATATGTACCAGTTGCTGAGGAGCTTGGGCAAGGAGAACTCTGGTATCCATCTTGCTTGAGGGATCCTGCAGGTATCTGGTTTGCCACCATGTGAACACAGTGCTGGACTGAATGGACCATTGGTCTGATCCAGCATGTTTTTTTCTTGTGTTCCTATGTATGTGGTCAAAATGTGTGTGTTAGACCAATGGCTAGGCAGAGAAATTGTATCAGCTTCACGGCCTTAGTTTAATGATTACTAAAGAACTCAGTCAGAGAGGATTTCAGAAGTGGGAGATGGTTTATTAAAATAAAATACTAATTTTTATTGATATGTGCACATTTGGAAATAATTACTAAGAGTAGTTTGAATTTGACAGAAGACAAAGCCAGCCAATTAATTTCTCATCCAGATAATCTCAAATTAAATAAAATCTTCAATTAATTTTCACCCTGACCTAGATCATCCCAAATCAGAATATTTATATCAGCTGAACTGGCATTCAGGAAGACATAGAAACAGAGCAAGTCAGAAGGGGCTGCCCAAGCCATCTAGTCTGACCCCCAGCTCCAGCCAGCTCCACTCATGACATTTGTATCTGTGTATGGGAGTGATGCAGCATGTAGGAAGGAGAAAGTTAACCTTTCCCTTCCCGGCTGCAATTCCCCTTGGAATGTATTAATAGTAATTACACAGGATGGTGGGGGCAGAACCCTTCCATTAGCACCAATGGACACACAAGACTCTGAAAGAGACCTGGGGACCAGTCTTAGTACCCCCTTATAGAGTGATGCAGGTTTTCTTGATCACAGATAGCTAGACGTGACTGCAGGTGGCGCAGTGGTTTAAACCGCTGTGCTGCTGGGCTGGTAGATTTAAAGGTCGCCGGTTCAAATCTGCACAACGGGATGAGTTCCCATTGCTCCATCCCAGCTCCTGCCAACCTTGCAGTTGGAAAGCATGAAAATGCAAATAGATAAAAAAGGTACCACTTCGGTGGGCAGGTAACAGCGTTCCATTTACTTCGGTGTTTAGTCATGCCGGCCACATGACCACGGAGACTGTCTGTGGACAAACGCTGGCTCCCTCGGCTAGGAAACGGAGATGAGCACCGCCCCCTAGAGTCAGGCATGACTGGATTTAACGTCAAGGGGAAACCTTTACCTTTATATTACAATTGAATTTTATCTGGCCAGGGCGGCTTATTTTATAATGTGAGTTTTAATTAAGATTATTTTATATGGATTTTAACTTGTTTTATCTATGTTGTAAGCCGCCCCGAGGCTTCGGCGAATGGGGCGGCATAAAAATGTTTTAATAAATAAATAAATAAATAATAAATATTACAGAGGGAGAGGGATGAGACTGTTCATATTTTTGTCACATAAAGTTACCCCAGAAGGTATTTATCTAGCGTCAACAGGAGTCAATGAACAGGCTTAGGGTGGGGTAGAACTTAGCAGAAGGTAGCCAAAAGGTACAATTCTCTTAGGGTGCAATTCTATGCATGTTTAAACAGGGGCACTAGCAAGAGTCATTCACTACCCTAAAATGAATTCATTTAAAATACTTATATGCAGGAACAGAATTAAGGGTCTAGGAAAATCAAAGGGTTTTTCCTGGTGTTTGAAATGATATCAAGATAGATGTGGGCTATGCTTCTCTACAAAAGGCCCAGCATAGGGAGCCACCACTGAAAACATAATTTCCCCCATAGGTACCTACCATAGTTTACCAGGCAGGGGCGTCTAGAGAAGGGCCTCAGAAGATGATCATGAGGTTTTGCCTCCCTCCAATCAGCATCCTCCAGGGCATCCACAGCATCTCCCTGTGCAGGGGTGCAAAAGAAATAAAGAAGGCAGGCTCAGAAGAGTGAGTCAGGCACAAAATAGAGGAAATGGCCACCTCTAAGAGCTGGTTGTTTACTCATACACACTCAGAAGGTAAACCTTCTGAGGAGAAAGTAAATCCTGCATCCAGTTTTAATTCAAGCAGCCAAGTGCTTTAGAAGTCTGGGAAATACTGGCACAAGTTGTATGAATTTTATGGAACAAGCCAGATCATTCTGCCCCATCTACTGGCATGAGTTCAATTGAATTTGTGATGCAAGCCCAAGTCATTCTGCCCCATCTATGTGTCTTATCATGCTTACAGCAGAATTAGAGGAGGCAAGCTTAAAACAGTGACTCATTAGATCAGAGGAGATGGGCACTTCTAAGGGCTGGTCATTTTTACACGTATACATTGAGAAGGTAAAGCTTTTGCAGCGAAAATGAAGCCTGCCTCCAGTTTTAATTCAAGGGGAGAAGTGTTTCAGAAGTTTAGGAAAGACTGGTATGAGTTCTGTGAAGTTTATGGGTCAAGAACATTAGGCAAAAACAACCCATACAAACATGCTCTTTGAATTTAAAAAAAAATGTGTATGTGTCTGTGAATGACATACTTGGACTCATTTAGCTGCCACACTCCTTTTTTATCTCAAGACATCCAAGTGGGATTACTGAATATGAAATATTACACTAGAGGAACAAACTGGAGAATTAAAAGGTTGGGTCATTCACATTGTTACATTTTCTGTGATGTAATTGACTCTGCTTTTGGAAGCAGAGGTGAAGGCAGGTGTCCAGTGTTCTCAGAGAAGCATAATTACCATAGTAACATCATTTTTTGCATCTACTTTGTTGGGTATTGTAGCACATTTTTATCCTTATAAGCACATAAGAAACTATTGGTGAAATCAGGAGAGTGCTATTTAATTAAAACAAGGTAGCAGATGACCCAAAGTTTATTTTTGGGTACCTAAATTATATACCTATATTATGCTATATATTGTGCATTTGAATTTTCTTACTATGTTGATATTAACTGTATCCTAGCCATCCCCTGTGCAAGGCAGCAGTAACAGATGTGCATGTGTCTGAGGATGTGGGTAGGCAGTCAATGACATGATCTGGTCCAGGTTATGCTGAATTTCTGGAAAGTGGGAGGGGGTTATTTAAAACAGGAATCCTGCCCAAATTTCTCTCCCTGCAACTGCTATTCCCTAGCCACTTTTTCACCAGCTGGGGTACTTCTTCTCCAAAGAACTGCTTTGGGAGGAAAATGATTGGGGAGGGAAAGTACCAGATCATGCTTTAAATCTCGGTCTACCCTCACTTTATGATAGTCATGCTGAATCTTGCGTAACTTAAGTGCTGAAGTCAGTTTCTGAGAAGCTCTCAAGTATTTTATGCCAATAGAAGCAAAGGGAGTGAAGGCAAAAGCAAATGGGTAGGGCCAAAATATTAAAAATGCCTGCATACCTTAGTGTAAAGCTCTTACTGCCTGAAAAGTAATCCAAGGGAGATCCACTGAAGCTTTTAGAATTGACTTGGAGAGGGGAAACCACAGAAAAGCCGGGTCTGCTACCATCATGTATAGCTTGTCTCCATAGACTGAGGTGTTAGGGTACCACTCATCATGTGGTATGGTATTTTACATTGTGAAGGCCAGGACTAGGCTGAGAGCATGCATGTCCAAGTACCACACAAGTGGCATTTTGTGTGAGCATAATACATGAAATTTCCAGTTATCGAGTATCAAAATTACTGGTTCAAAAACTAAACAGCTGCACAAAAATGTGCCCATGCAGATTCCAAGAAGAGCAGGCATACTTCTGTCCTAAAAGATCACTTACATGCAGCCTAATGTCTTGTTTTCCAGAAACAAGCACAGAATTGTCAAATCCAGATAAGCTGTCAAACACCAAAACAGGAGAAATCAGATACTTGCAGTCACTGCAAAACTGAACACCTCAGCATTCACCATGGTGTTTCTCTTGAGCCCACTGGCAAGAATGACTGTTTCATGGAAAAACTTAAGTTAACTGTGAGTGAAATAGCAGTGAGCAGGAACAGGTTGCAAGAAGAAAACCTGAAGCTTCAGCAGGAAGTAAAAATGTACCAAAGAAAGTGCCAGGTAAAGAGCCAGCTACTGTATTAGCTGCTGCCACGAGTAAGTAGCTTTGGGATATTGAATGCGAATAATGTGTAACACAGCTGCCCGAAGTCGGTTGTGAAATTTGGTGTGGCTTATGAGTGGTGTCAGCTGATAGGGATAAGAGGGGCATGCAGTTGTTTGAATTATATTTGAATGTAGCTAGCAATGTCCAAAATAAGATGGAAAGCAGGGAATTTGGTACTTCTTATTTGCTTCTCAATGCAACAACTCCTCCCTCCACTCTGAAAGCTTAGTCACAGCATATAGAGACTTGATGAAATGATAAATTTTGAATGGGAACTATATTCAGATTTTGTAAGGGAGATCTATGAACAGATACAGACAGGAAATTAATCTGCTGCTACATTCTGCAGGTATGTGGACTTTGCAGTGCAAGATAAAAGGCTTTTCATATGTATTCTTCTGTGAAATAAATAGACATGCTGGAACTGGGCTGTTGTGAGGGAGGCACCCTGGTTAAAGCCTGGTTTAAAAATTGCCCTGTGTAACTTTTGCCATATCACTTATATCACCTGTCTCATTTCCTCTGCTATTTCTACAGCTATGTAAAATGTATACCAAAGACAGCTGTACCTCCTTCCAAGTTTACAGCAAAGGGGTCTTTATTCAGCTGTTTCCTTGTTTGTTCTTGTGGTGGCAGGGGCTTCATTTGAATACCGTAGAAGAAGCAGGGAAGGGAGAAGCAATAGCAACTGCCCAAAACACTGGCTGCATTCGCACAACATGACAAGCAACTCTTCATGGTTATCATAGTTTATGTTGGTTTCTTTCCATGATCTACCTATCAGACGATCAAGTACTTTCTACATTATCATGGTTTTCATCCTCCCCTCTTAGTCCTCCTACTGTTGGCACTTTAGTCACCGTGCCTGAAATTCAGTTCTAAAGGTGCATTGCTCCCTGCTTGCATTGCCTGCCTCTTCCTTATTTGTCCGCAGACAGAAGCTAGATGACTAGCCCAATGTCTGTACTTGCAACTCTTTCCAAGGGACTCTGAGGTAGTTGCATACCAGGAATGTAGAGACCAGCATCCTTGGTTTAGACAAGCCATGGTAATACAGTGAAACCATAGAATAAAGCATTGCTTCTTATTGTGGTTCATTCTGTAAGACCAAACTTACCATGGTGAAATACCACACCTAGATTCAGGAAAGACAATAGGTCAACAACGGTTAAAAACAACCCACCATGGCTCATTGCTTTGATTGAACCCAGCCACTGTCTGGTGCAGATGGTAGGAGAGGCTAAGGCTGCACCTAGGTATTATGACAGACTCAGGGCTGCTACTAAAACAGCTATACATCTTTTCTTTCATTCTTCTTCCTGACAATGTGTAGGGATGTATGAGACCTTTGTTTTTGTTCAAAAAACATGTGAACATGCCCCATTCAAAGATCTGAATGGGAGCAACAAAAACATTTGCAAATCATTAAACATATGTTCCATTCGTCTCATTCCTGATTCCAAGTTAAATTTGCACAACTTTCCTAATTTCAGTAGATTTCTTCAGTAGTATAAACAGTAGTGGTATAAAACAGCCCCACTTTAGTCCATAGAAGAAATGTGTTGGAAGTGCCGGGCATTTGTCCTGTTCTGTAACACTTGAGGTATGCAAATCTCCTGTTAGCAGAAAACGAGTAGCAGTTGTAAATGCAATGGAGAAACCTGGCAATATTGAACATCTCTTGTTTGCCCATCCCTGCTAGGGATACAGAACCTGACATAAGGTATCATTGCATTGTGGTATGCACTTCACTTAACTGGAGTCTGAGACCAGGGAGGGAAACACTCACATTTTACTAGTGCTGTGTCATGTATTTTGTATTGCAGTGGTTTAAACTGCTGTGCTGCTGGGCTGGTTGATCGAAAGGTCGCCAGTTCAAATCTGCACAATGGAGTGAGTTCCTGTTGCTCCGTCCCAGCTCCTGCCATCCTTGCAGTTCGAAAGCATGCAAGTACAAGTAGAGAAAAAGGTGCCCCTTCGGTGGGCAGGTAACAGCGTTCCGTGCACTTTGGTGTTTAGTCATGCCGGCCACATGACCACGGAGACTGTCTGCGGACAAATGCTGGCTCCCTCGGTTTGGAAATGGAGATGAGCTCCGCCCCCTAGAGTCAGGCATGACTGGACTTAATGTCAAGGGGAAACCTTTACGTTTAAACATTATTAGGTGAGTGCAATATCTTGTCCAGTCGCCGAGATGAGTCCTCGGTTCCTTATGAAGCAGTTAAACAATTCTGCCAAGGTTCTTTGCCACTCTTGCCATTTAGCACGAGGATAAGAAATTTGTAGCCCTCTGGTTGTTGATGGACTACTGTTCCCATCAGCTGATCTAGCCAATGGTATGAAATGATGGGAGCTGCATACATTGCCTGTTCCTGGTTTAGAACTGTCCCTTTAGCCAAAAAAGAAAAAGATGCACATATCAATATGTTATATCCCAGTAGTGCCTCTCATATTGGGTTTATAAATCCATACCATGGATTAATTAGCATTATGTACAAATTAGGCCAGTGTCTTTTGATTGGTAGGCTTACAGCTGTTTATTTGGAAATACCAAAGACTGAGGAGAATCCAGACATAATCCTTCAAGAAAGCACTACAACTTTAAAAGAGCAGTGTAGATGCTTCTTAGGTGATGGTAGATTCATAAATTTGTTAAATAATACCAACATTTACAGACCACCCAGAGAGCTTCTGCTATGGAGGTGGTATAGAAAATAAACATTTAATTTACCCATAACTCAAAACAGAATGTTTATCACTGCTGTTGTCTTAATTTGTACTGTGTAATGTCACTATTAAGCTCTGTCTGTGATATTATAAGCATAGAATCATCCTCCCTCATGCTTGCATCATTTTATAGTCTTCTAAGAAGTATATGTTGTATTCATTCATTCAGAAGCCAAACATCCTCACTGTGTACCACAGACATTTTGTAAGAACCAGTGGTAATTACTGGTGAGGCTATTCCCTACCCCAAGAGTTCATGGGCATCCTGGAATAGGGATGTGTTACATTTTTTGCAGAAGAGAAATTAAGCTACAAGTTCCACGTCTAACTCCAGATATAGGCTGACACATTTCAAATATCACAAAGTATAAAGTAGAACCTAGAGCATTTGTCACAGAAGTTCTCATAGGGCAAACTGGCCTGGGATAGCAATATTCCACGACCTACAGGCTAATCAAGAGAAATATCTAGGGAGAATAAAGTCCCATCTGAAGTTCCTCCAAATGCTTTCCTGATTGTTCCTTGTTTTCCTTCATTTCCTGCAAGCCTCTTCTCTTCCAAACAAACAAAAAAAGAGGTTGTAATTGAGAAAGCATTGAAGAGGAAAACCTTCCCCCTCCCATGTACACTGCATTGGAGACAGCAGCAACCAAATAACTTGAACTGGCCTTGCTGATGAGGGGAATCAGACATAATTTTTCATCTTGGGATTGTTTCTGTGGAGGGCACAGGAATGGTCCTTGGTTTTATATGCTGCTTCCTCCCTTCTTTCACAGGAGGAATACATGAACAATCAAGCTAGAGCAATCCCACCTTTATATGATCTCCTGTGACATTGTGAAATTAGCCCCCTTTAAAGTGACATAAATGATTTTTTTCTTAAAAACAGATTTTAGCTGTTTTAAATTGTTTTTTAAAATTTTGATGTTTTTATTATGTTACTCTTATGTTGTATTTTAACTGTTGTGAATTGCCAAGAGAGCTTTGCCTATTGGGTATAATAGAATTGAAATGAAATGAATCATGGGTAAGATGTTAAGATGAAAAGGGTCAGGCTTTCTGTGCCATTAATAGCTATGGAGAAAATTTCAGTGGTCGTCACTTCCTCTTTTATACTAATATTAAAGGTATGGTAGTAGTCCAGGCTTGTTTTACTCTTGACCACCCTATAAAGGATAGAGTTTCCTGCATCCCAGTTTTGTACAGCAACTCATGTTGGAGTCTGACTTAGTCTGCCACTGAATTGAGTAGGGGCAAGGTTCAGTAGATAGTATTTTTGTTAATTTGCATGATGCAGTTTGGACTCATTCAGTATAGTCCAAAGTTCTCCCACCTTCAGCAAGAGAGACACCATTCAGTTTCAAGAAAGGTCTCCCAAAGTCTCTCTGACTCAAGGCACTCGTTTTCAATATTTGTGGTGGATCGTTTTTGGAATTATGAGTCATTCTGGAAGCTTTTAGAAGCTTGGCATTTAAGTATGAAATGTACTCAAATAAATGGAAGCAATAACTCCCACACTTACATATTCTAAACTTCTGATACTGAAATCTTCAACCTTTATTTATTTTATGTTGATGGATGATGGTATAGCCGATATAATTTTGTTTCCTGCAATTGTATGATATGGTTTGTACTGCGGATGCTGCTGTTGTCATTTATAGAAATATAATACAGCATGTACTGACCCTTGCCCTTTCTGGCTTATGAAAGCAGCCAAGACAGCGGGTGCTGGCTGAGTAGATAATGGTAATGATGAACACCTCTTTACAGCAAGGTGTGCTTTTATCTTGCCTAAAGGAGAAGGTAAAACAAAAATAACACCCCCATCCCCACCCCAAAAAACCCCTCTCTGCTCCACTGTATTGGATAATGTCTAATCTGTCCCTGATATTTTGTTCTTGGGCAAGGTGCTGGAGAATGTGGTGGCTTCTTAGAGCCAGGGATTTCTGGATGAGTTGGATTATATGGATCTATTTAAATTTGGCTTCAGGTGTGATTATGGGACTGAGATGGCTTTAGTTGCTTCAACGGCTGATCTAGACCAGGAACCGGACAGTGGGGTGGGGGGTGGGGCATCTCTGTTTATTTTGTTTGCTTGTTTATTTGATTAAAGTTTTTGTATCCCACCCTTCACAGTGTCTCAGGGCAGTGATAAAATACATGAGATACCACATTGAGATAATAATATATAAAAACAATCTTTAAAACACTATTAACTTTTAAAATAATGGGGGGAAAAGTTTTGTCGACACCTAAATGAAAAAAGTGTCAGTGCCAGACACACCTCTCTGGGGAGCCCACTCCAGAGCTGGGGCACTACCACAGAGAAGGCCCTTCTCTGGGTAGCCACCTTTCTGATCTCCTTCAAAGAGGGCTCCCAAAGAAGGACCTCTGCTTCAGATCTTAGAGGCCAGGCAGGTATATATGGATGGAGGTGGGCCTTCACATATCCAGGTCCTAAGCTGTTTAGGGCTTTATAAGTCATCACTAGCACCTTAAATTGACCCCAGAACTTCAATTGGAAGCCAGTGCAGATGGTACAGGACCAGCATTATATGTGTATATCTGCCAGTGCCTGCTAGCATCCTGGCTGCTCTATTCTGAACCAATTGAAGTATCCAGACCATCTTCAAGGGCAGCCCCACATAGAGTGTGTTAATTCAATGAGGAGGTTACCAGTGTCTTCGCTAGGCTCTGCTTATCCAAGTAAAGACATAGTTAATTGATCAGCTGAAGCTGAAAGAAAGCACTCCTCGCCACAGTAGTCACCTGGGACTCCAAGGATAACTCTGGGTCAAGGAGCTCTCTCAAACTGTCCACCCTGTCCCTTAGTGGGAGTGCAACCCTGTCCAGAACAGGGCAAAGATCACTTACCTGGAGAGCTGAACCACCTACCAACAGGACCTCCATCTTGTCTGAATGAAGTCTCAATCTATTGACCCTCATCCAGCCCATCACTCTAGCCAGACCTGTTTAAGGACAGCCACTGTCTCACCTGGATCAGATGTAAAGGAGAGGTAGAGCTGGGTGTCATAAGGATATTGATGACTCCTCAGCCCGAACCCCCAGATGACTTCTCCCAGCTGTTTCATGTGGATGTTGAACAGTATGGAAGATAAAATGGAACCCTGTGGAACTCCATGGCATAACTGCCATGGCACAGAGCCATAATCCCCTGACCTCCTGGAATCAGCCCACCAAGTAGGAGCAGAACCACTGCAGAGCAGTGCATCCAACTCCCCAACTCGGCCAGAAGGATACCATGGTTGATGGTATCAAAATCCACTGAGAGGTATAGGAGAACCAACAGGGACACACTTCCCTTGTCCCTTTCCCTGTACAGGTCATTGTACAGGGCAACCAAAGCAGTTTCAGTCCCGTAGCCAGGTCTGAGTCCAGTCTGAAATGGGTCCAGATGATCAGTTTCCTCCAAGGGAGCTTGGAGTTGCTTGACCACCACCCGCTCAAGCACCTTGCCCAAGAACGAGGTCTTAGCCACCAGTCTATAATTGGAGGCAATCTCTCAGCCCAGGTTTGCCCTCTTCAGGATGGGTCTGATCACCACATCCTTCAAGGGTGCCTGGACCCGACCCGACCCTCCCTTAGAGAGGCATTAACTACTTCCCAGGTAGACATACCGTTCTTGTCCCTTGAGCAGCCATGAAGGGCAAGGGTCAAGTAAACAGGTGGTTGGTTTTGTTGGACACCATAGCAGCTTTCATTACCACCAGCCATGGTATTCTCCGGGGGCAGCTGCCTGAGATGGAACTAGGAAGCACAGTTATATGGTAGCTCCACTCCTCCTTTGAGGATTGCTCTCAGAAGGTGAAGTTGGGGGATTCCTGTTGAATGCCAAGGGCATTGATCTCAGGTGTCCATCTTATCTCCCATCCTATTAAATATACACATTAAGCACTGGGAGAAATTTTCCAGAGTGTTGGGTGTCACCAATAGGCTCTCCTGTCTGTTTCCAAGGACACTAGTACTAAATTGGAGTCTGATCTCAGAAATGGAATGGATACAGACAAACAAATGGCTTAATCCAGACTAGACACAGGTGCTTCTTGTCAGTCAGGGAATAGGGACTTAACCTGTGCTGGATGAGGTTACATTACCCCTGAAGACTCAGGCTCATAGTTTGGGTATACTTCTGGATTCACCCTGAACCTGGATGCTCAGGTTTGTGCAGTGGCCAGAAGTATGCTTGCCAACTGCCCTTCGTGCACCAACTATCCCTGTTCTAAAATTTCCTCATCTGGGCATGATCGCACATACCTTAGTTGCAATCCCTTTAGATGACTGAAATTGTGTTCTGCATGGTTCTGCTGTTCCAGAATGCTGCAGTCAGGCTGTTGACCCTTATTATAACAACTTCACTGGCTATTGGTCTGTTTCTGGGAAAAATTTAAAATGCTGGTTATAACCAAGAAACCCGTGTGACTTGAGAGCAGGCTGCTTATAAGACCATATTCTCCCATACAAGCCTGCCTGCATCTTAAGATTTTCAGGAGACCTTTCAACACCACTGCCTTCAGAGGAACATTGGATGACAACATGAAAGAGGCCTTTTCAGGGGCTGCTCTAAAGCCATGGCACTCTTTGTCAAGGAAAGCTACATTTGTCCCATCCCTGATTCCTTCCACCAGCAGACAAAAGACCTTTTTATTCAAGCAGACCTTTCATAGATAAGCAGGTCTGTTGAACTGGGTGATGTATTTATTAAGTTTTGCTGTGTTTTTATTTTAATGCATTGTTTATTATTGTTTTAGTCTAGTTTTATTATTGTAAGCCACCTTGAGTGACATTTCTTGGTAGAAAGACAGAGTACAACTCAAAGAAATAAATAATGTATGTATGTAATTTCAAGTACAGTTAATATATTTATGTTTGGGAGGTGGGTTATCCATATTAAAGACTTTAAATTGCTGACGAGTTTTCCTCTCTTCCCAGAAAACCATGTAGTTCTGTGTGTATCAGCACACAAACCCTTTTGCAGTGAGGGCCTTGTGTCATTGATCACAATGAAGGAAGTGTGGTTCACAGCCAGGACTTGGGGCAAGTCAGATTCAGAGTATTCTGATCAAGCAAGAATCAGAAAAACAGGAAACAGAGCACTACAGAGAGCTCTGCCTGCTGGGGTTGGAAGCCAGGCAGGCATGTCTTTATGTTGATCCAACAATTAGCAGGGTATGACTGAGCCTTAAGTATGGTTATGGCTTTCTTTATGATCCACCTCCCTATTGCTTGTCTCCCTTAATGGGCCCTGGTCTATTTCAGGAACCTCAGGCTGCAGTGATATGGGATCATATTCTTCATGGCTGGGATCCTCAGAATTTACACATGGACATATGAGCTGGTCCCTGAGATTGTCTTGGAGAACTAAACCGTTAAACGGGTTACAGGGTTGATATGTGAACTGGGTATTGAATATAATGAGTGAGAAATAGCCTTTCCAAGAAACGTTTCAAAACACCAGATCCTAACTCTGGTTAACTCTGCCTTGATTGTGCCCATTGTCTGTGTATAGCAGACTTCTCTTGAAAATGGTGCTCCTGTGGTCATGACGTGTTTCTAATGTTATGGTGTGGTGTTTTAACAGCACAATCATGTGTGAATTGTCTTAAAAGCAAAGCCTGTTTTATTCAGTGCGATTTAATTCCAAGTGAATGTGCAAAATAAAATAATTTAAGTGCCATCTTGTGTGTGTTTAGACAGAAAAAAATTGCAATTTCCAGTATGTCCCAGCAAGCTGGCTGGGGCACACTGGGAATTGTAGCCCTTTTTTATCTAAATGTACATAGAATTGCACTTAAATTGTTTTATTTGCAAGTGACTTTTCTGCTGAGTGAGATTTGCAAGTGAAAAATCTTATCAGAAAAGGTGAAGAGTAGGATCAGATTTATTATTATTATTATTATTATTATTATTATTATTATTATTATAACATTTCTATGCCGCCCCTTGCCGAAACCTCGGGGCGGCTTACAACATGATAAAATACATTGAAATACAATAGTACATAATAAATTACCATTAAATATAAAAATACAAAAAATACATTGATTTACAAATACAAAATTAAAATTATCAGTATAAAATAAAAATATAGGAGGAGAAAGAGAAGGAAGAAGAAGTTGCCCAGGCCAGATCATATGTTTTAACAATTGAAATGATGTTTAAATAAAAAGGTCTTTACCTGGCGCCGAAAAACCAGTAACGACGGTGCCAGGCGGACCTCTTTGGGGAGTGAATTCCATAGGTTGGGCGCCACCGCAGAGAAAGCCCTCCTCCGGGTACTTACTCTCCTAATTTCTTTCATGGAGGGTTCCCGGAGAAGGGACTCTCCCGCAGATCTCAAAGGGCGGTCGGGCATATACGGACGTAAGCGCCCGTTCAGGTAGCCAGGACCCAAGCCGTTTAGGGCTTTGTAGGTCATAATCAACACCTTGAATTGGGCCCGGGCTTCAATGGGAAGCCAGTGAAGCTGATGGAGGACTGGAGTCATGTGAGCATAACGCCCCGTCCCCGTCAGCAACCTGGCAGCTCTATTTGTTTTCAAATAAATGAAGTGTTTTGCTTTCCATGGAATATCAGAATTAATGTACTCAGCAGAGTTCTTAATACTATAGTGCCATGGAGTATCAAGCTATCATTGAATAAGCTATTTTGAATGTACCCTTTGGATTTGTTTAGAATATTGAAGCCAGGCTTACAGAAGTGAAGAATGAACTACAGTCACGTGAGGATCTATTGAATATGGTAGAACTGGAATGCCAACAGTTGCGCAAAGAAGTAGCCAGAATTGAAGAGCATAAGAATAAGGAAGACAATCAAGTGAAGTATGTATTAGAAATATAGCTCCAGACTCTGGGAATTGATGACTTGGGAGTTCATGTATAATCAGCTTGGCAGTAAATCTCACTCAGTTCAGTGCTACTTACTCCTAAGTAATTGTGCATAGCATTCCACTCTTAGTTATCTTTTCTCTGCATTGGATAATCCAAAGTACAATTCAGGAAAATTTTAAGTGCAGAGTTAAAGATACTGAAATAAATAAAAGCACACTGCTTTCACTTCAGTGGGATTTTTATTTTGCTGAGCTGCATCTCTGGTATATTAAGCAATAGAATTTCAACCTATTTTCCATCTTTGAAACAATATTACGAATTGTATGAAAACTGGCAATAGCTAACAGAGGATGCACATGTTTTGAATGCAGATGGTTCCAGCTTCATTCTCTGGCCTCTCCCTTTCAACCCCCCCCCCCCATTTTAAAAGAAAGACTTACTTTTGACTGCTCCTGTAAGGGGGTTGGGTTGCATTTTTCCACTTTTCCGACATCTAGGATCTCAGGAAAAGGTGGAGGATACTGATCCTTAAAATCTAGAGGACCTTGCCATGTAGGAGATGATCTATTCACTCTGCTTTTGTAAGTAAGGAACTTTGTCCAGCTTTCCTTTCACTTGACTGCTTGCTATTTGACAGCTATAAAGTGAAACTAAACTAATGTATTTAAACCTGGCTTTATTGGTATCCATGGATGGTAGACACTGTCAAATTCATGTGTTTCACATTTTGGGGTGTCAGAACTGTGTGCATGCAAAACTCTGAACCACTGATCCCAATATGGAAAAACTTACTAAAACATTTCTGGATATTTCTAGTATACCAGCGATGGTCCTTCCAATGTGCCGCTTTGGCATTTTATAGGGAATGTCACTGATTGTCACTTTAGAGATTGCTGAAAGTGATCTCCGAAAAAGGGTGAACTTGCTGGTGACTTCAGAAGGGGTTGTGATTAAGGATGGGAAAAACCCTGTTGGAATTTGCCCTTCCAAGCCTCTTCTTGTGCTCAGCCCAGTCTTCCAAAGAGAGCCAAACCAAGAGGAAGTCCATGAACACTTCCCAAGCCCCAGTTGTGCAACTGACACCTTTCTGCTGTGTCAGCAGCAGCAGCCCAAAATGCCTGCACTAGCTAGCACGGAAGAGAGATGTTGCATGAACTGTGGTCAGCGGGGCAGCTTTTCTGGTGGGTGCTTGGTCTCAAAGCCCCTGCCAGGAAAGCAGCCTTTTTCCCAGATGATGCCTGCTCATGCATCAGAGCAACCACTCAAAACAGTGGCTGCAGAGGCTGCTTTCCTGGCAGGTGCCTCAGGACCCAACACCCCATGACTGGCCTTTGATACAAGGAGCAACCACTGTTTGAGGCATATCTGGGCACTGCTACTGGTCAAGGAAATTGCATTGCCGGTGGGCATCTTACAATCAGCCTTCTCCAGCACATGCTGGAGAACATGCTTGTGTAGTGCATGGGGCTCAGTTCCTAGCAAGCAGCCTGCAACACTGGGCACACTAGCCAGGAATTTAGACTCTGGGTCTTTGCAAAGTGGACTGGAGTCTGGGATGAGGGGACTGGTGTGCCAGGTTCAAATGGCAGGCCAAGACATTATGGTTACAATAGTCCCTAGAATAAGCCATGTGTTGGCAGGATGGTCCATTGCCCCTAAAACAAGCCACCTTGATGGGAGCATTCTGGGTTCTCACAACACAACAGCCTAGCCACCCACAAAGAGTTGCCATTCATGTGAACTCAGCATGTTACAAGAGCAAAATTTGTACTATTATGCTTGAAGTTTCTCCCTCGTGGCAAAATGCCCAGAGACATTTCTGTATTTGGATCATCGTAAGGAGTCAGTGTTGTCAAACACTAGTTGGAGCTCATGATCCAGCAAGCTGCTGACACATGAATCTCACAGTCATTGCTGCTTCTCCTCCTCTCAGAATAAATTATGGAGCAAGGAGAAGGCTCGGCAGCCATTGCTTGTCTTTCCCACTTCTGCTAACAATGCTGGAGAACTGTCCAGTGCAGAGAAAGTAAATGGATAAGGGCTTGCCTGAGGACTTCCCAAAAGCTAGAGTGGACGCTGACCAAAGCTTTCGGAACTGTACTGCAAAGCATCTTTATTTGAGCCAGATAGGCGTAACAAAGTGTGTAGCACAATCTTCTGCATGTCAGATACACAGTAAATCCTACTGTGCTTAGTGGGGCATACGATGCAGTCTTATGCATGTCCATTCAAAAGTAACTCTCACTTTGTCTAGAAGGGCTTTCTCCCTAACCAGTGTGCTCTAGAGCAGTAGTCTTCAGCCTTTTTACAGTTGGGGACCAGCAAAAATAGGAAAATTATTCCGGGGACCACTGAGGCAGAAATAAAAAGCATTATATAGACAATACAGTGTTTTCTGTATTAGTTTTTCAATACTGTACCGAAAAAAGAAAATTCTCTAAAATAACCAGAAACTGAGTAGTAAAAATGCTAATAAAAAAATAAAATATTGAAATTAAATGTAATCAAATACAACTGAAATTTTAGAGAGCAATATGTAATTCAAATAGGGCTACTGCAAAATCTGCTGCTGCTTCTTTTCAAGAATATTTGATCAAAAATTTACAGTCGCAAAATCCAAAATCAATATAAATGCAATACTGTACTTATAGCAAATACAAATTCAAATACAATATTAGCAGCAGAACAATGCAAAATCAAACAAAGTTACTTCATACAATAATATCCATAATGTTAAATATTGAAATACAACGACCCCCCCACTCAAACCCCCATACACCCCAGCACAGACTGGCTGAGAAAAGACTCTTGGCATAGTCCCGCTTCTGCTTTTCCCTTCCAGGTAGGAAACAGCAGAGAAAGGGAAAAGCCCAGAGGGTGGGCACGGCACGCTGCAGCTCCTGGCTGGCTCCCATGGAGCTGCCTCCCCGCTCCCCGTGAAAGAATCGGCAGCAAGAGCGCAGCGAGCCCCGGGCGCTGGCCCAGCCGAGCCAGATGTGACTGTTGTGCGTGCGCACAGCAGCGGCTCTTTCACGGGCCACCATTGCCCAGTGGTTGAAAACCACTGCTCTAGAGGGCAGCTTTTTCCCTGATAGGGAAAAAAATAAGCCTGCATTCTTGTCTATCACTAACTCCAATATTTTGTTTCCAAATGTAGACCGTTATAAGCCTAGACCGTTATAAGCCTAGTGAAGCCAAGTGATGACTGAAGCACACTTTATTCTGAATTAAGTTGGAGGTTCTTTTTTTTATTCCCAAAAGAGCACAATGACATAATCCACCCTCCGAGGGGCCCATCTCCTGTTGTTTCTGCATGAGTCCACTGACCTGAGCATAGCTCCTGTTCTGACTAGAAAGAGTACCTTTCAGGAACTTTTCTTTGTTTTCATTAATTTCATCCTCATGACATAGGAGCATATGCTGACACACTTTGGAATTTCCTTCCCTAGGCCAAAAACGATTTTTGCAGTGGTTTACAAATATTATGTAATATAATATGTACAAGTAAAAAATAAATGGCTATAAACTCTAATAAATAAAGTTTGCATTATAAACAGAGTAGATGCTGAATATTAACATTTACATCCCAAGTCAGATTTGTTTTCTCTTATAAGAAAATATTAGATGTACTTCTACATTATGGGTACAATCCCATGATAAATCACGAACTGAGAAGGAAGATTATGAGAAGAAATTTGAAGCACAGCGATTACTCTAGCTCTAAACATGTCTCCTTTAATCACAGAAACTGGAGATTTTAAGAATTCCCAGCATACTTGCCTATAAAGAAAGGTTACCTACGATTTCTAGCTTTCTGTGAAGTAGATACTGACTGGGTTTGCATGACACAAAGCCAGAGTGACTTAGCATGCTGTCTGAACCTCACTCAATGCCTGGGTGTCATAGAAGCCCACTTTAAGAGCCACCTGAACAAGGCATAGCTAATTTGCTTGACCCAGCCAAAGTGAGATGACAGATGACACAAGCTATGGTTGAGCAAAAAGTGTGCAGAAGGAACTCACTTGCCACTTGGCAAGCACAGCAGAAAGGCTGGCCCTTTTGGCCAAGCAGCTGGGGAGTGACTGCCATTGCCTGCCACCAGAGAAGTGCCATAGTGATATTTGGGTATGGCTGGCAGAGTTTTTCCTTCTTCCCATTGTGGCAGCAAGCATTTGGGCTCTTTGCAGCGTGTTTTTTTCTTTAAAAGGGAATTGAGATTGCAAAACTGAGCTGTCAAGCCCGTCCTCATGGTCCCAGTGTGAGCATCCCTGGGGACCCCCTCCAAGGACCCCATTGGTACATTGGAGGTGCTGCCTATTGTCTGGCATCACTTAAAAAAATTAGAAGTAGTGGAATCCTGGGCCCAATTAATTGAGTTCCTTCTATTCCCCCAAATAATTGAATTTCTTCCATTCCCCCCATCTGTGCAAACCATCCCATTCGCACAAATGGGGGAGCTGGGAATAAACAACGGGGTATCCATACTGCTAGCATGGGGAAACCTGCAAAACAGCAGCAGGGGGGATCACAGTGACGGGAGGCAGGGGTTTGTTGGCAGTGGAAGAACACCTGCAAAACTGAGGGGCAACAAGGGACAGCCGATCTTCTCCCAAAAGACCAGGAGTTCACACTTCAGAGAGGGCAGAAATTGCTGCTCTCCACAAAGCATAGTCTTGCTTTGCAAGGAGCTGCCTGGTCTTGACCTGTCAGAGCTGCCAGGTCCTTGCAAAATAGGCAAGGTAGGAATAGGGCAGTTTGTTATGGGGGGAGAGGGAATCTGAAAAGCAGTTATAAAGGGGAAACCACAGGCAGTCTCTCCAAGGTAGTGCTGGAGATCCTTCATTGGGATCATGGAGGAAGAACTGACAATTCATTTTTGCAATCTCAAAAAAAAAAACCCTTTTAAAAGTCAAGCTGTAGCCAGCCAATAATGGCTCATGATTAATATAGAGAGGTGTGGAAACCTCTATGCTCCTGTAATGTCTCCTGAAATCCCTGCAAGAGGTCCAAGGAGAGAAGAGGGGAGTGATTCCAGAGCCATGATGTGCCTAATCATATGTCAAGACATTAAATCTCATGGGGCAAAGAAGCCACAGTGTGTGCCAGATTAAGACAAAAGGCTTCATGTATTATGCAAACCCACCTAGTCTCTATCTTGATATTTTCTCTCCACATGAACTTTTTTCAATGTTTCGAAAAGTGAGAACCTGAGCTTGTAATATTTAAATTATTCTTTTTTTGAAAAAAAGGATTCAATCAGCTTATGCACAATGTCTTAAAGACTTGGAAGTAAAGAAAGCTCAGATACTTGTTTTGGAACAACAGCAGGAAAATCAACAAGAAGAACTGATCCAGGTATTTTCTATTACAAATATTTCTAATCATTATAAATCTTACTTTATGCAACACAAGGCAAAATTATGACCCTCCAGTCACAGGCAGGGCTGAAGCAGGATATAAGAGGCAAAATTATGGGAAGCAAGGTTCTGAAGGCATGTGAATGCAAAGCGGCCTTGCCTCTTGATGTCATGTGGTCCCTGGCAAGCATGTTGGGAGAATGATCCTGCAAGTGCATCCTCCATGAACCAGCTTTCTTGCATGCAGGCCTGTCCCATTGAAGAAGCTGCTTCACTTGCCCCACTCCTACTGAGAGGACATGGGGCAGGCAGAGCCAGGGCAACTGAGCTGAATGACTTCACCTCCACAGGTGAAGTGTCCTGGACTAAGCCGGTGGCTGGATGTTTGTTAAGACCTTTTAAAATCTCTTTACTATTGCTAGCATGGTTGGAAGGGTTGGTGCACTGGAAACAGACACCCAAAAAGTAGCTGAAAAATGATACAATTGGAAATGTTGGCTTTTTCTTTCCTTTTTTGGGCCACATTTGCTGCAGATAAGAGACCGCCTTTATCAGGAAGAACAGTCCCATTGCTCAGAGGTGGAGAGAATGAGGACAGAAATCTCTGACCTGATAGAAGAGCTTCATCAGAAGGAGATTACTATAGCAACTATCATGGAGAGAGCTGCTCTACTGGAAAGGCAGTTACAAATGAAGTTAGAGATAAAAGAGAAAATGTTAGGAAAACAACAGGTATGCAAACAGAATAAAAAGCGGCACAGGTCATTTGGTCATTACAAAGATTAGCACCGACTGACGTCTTAAGAAAGCTATTACCTCACAGAATATAGAATGGGAAACAACAACTGGACCAAGGCAGGAAATAAGACAATGTGGAACAACACAAATCTTACCAAATCATACAAGGCCAAAGTATCAGAACTTTATATTATTACAATACATGAAAAACTTTCCAACATTTTGTTCCTACATTTTATCCTATGACTTCTTTGTAACGTCTGTGTAATTCTCTTTTTCCTAACAAATATAAAGTTCTGAAAGTTCCCATTAAGGTTATTTTGTTACAACTCCCATATTGCTTGTTGTGAGCATTATGCTAATATGCAATTGTTAAAATGTTACCATTATTCCTGAAGTGCACCATTTGAAATCTGGGTGAGTATAGTATTGAATGTTTGTCACTTCTTTAAAAAGTGGAGGAAGGCTTGACAAAAAGCTCGTACTTCAAGGAGAAGACTTCTTGCCCAACATGGTGGTTTTCCATGCAGAGAAGGGTTATTTGACATTTCAGTGGAATTTCCCCAATGCACTCCAAAGTGCCACTAAAGTGCTATTTTGGCACATTTGAGGTGCCCCTTACAAGACAGGAGGTTCTACAGCCTAGCAGGATACCACACTGCAGGCAGTTGCATGAAAATGCAATGCAGAGGACTCCCAGCATTAGCAGCCACAAAGCACTGTGCAGCTATACAGTCTTTTTCCACTTCATGAATTTTCTTCATTAAGGAAGGAGGCAGAAGTAGTGGTAAATGTGCATACACAAAGAATGGTCCTGAGCAAAGGATAATGGTGTCTGGACCTTACCCTCCCCTCTTCCCCAGGAAACCTCTGTGAATGAAGCAGGGTGATGGCATCATCAAAGTCTTGTCTGGAAGCAACCTACCCAGCCCATTCACATTCACATTATTCCCACTCAGCAGAAGCAGCTCTCATGTGCAAGGGACCACCTGAATCCAGTTGTAAGAAAAGGATAGGAAATTAGGATGTAAAGGATTCAGGATAACTTCTTTATCTTCTTTAAACTGCATCAAATCTGTTCTTTATGTTTATCGTATGGATAAGGTGCTCTGTAAAGTAACAGCAGAATGGCTAGTCATGCTGTCTAGAAAAATTGCTGTTGCTTTGCATACCGCCCTATTTTGAGACATTACTTGATTAGAAAGTACCAAATGTTTGAGAATGAAGATGTTACATAAAGCTTTTCCACTAGATACTTTTATGCTGATTACTTTATGTCTTCCTGGAAAATATAAGGTGCAGCAATATGCTTCTTGATCTTGAAGCAATAAATTTGTTAGAATTATGTACTCCAGAGAGTAGTTTACAATGAATAGTAAGCCCTGTAACTGAAGTGTTTTGAAATCTCTGCTAAACTTACTCACATTCCATCTTTACTCACAGACCTCAGATCTGTGACTGCTGTCCACAGTTCAGTTAGGGCAACTAACATAAATGATACTTCACTTGCATGCATGTATAATGAAACAGTTGAATCACTTATTTGGGTATTTCTCCCCAAAATTTGGAATGTTGATTTTGTACTTTTCCAGTGGGAACTGGGAAAAAACGTGTTGCAAGGTAGGAGTGGGGAATAGGTATGTAAAGACTGAGTGAGTGGCTCCCTAAAGACCATAACACCATTACCATTTCTGCACAGGCCATTAAGTTCAACCATCCTGTAGCAGATAGGTGGGCAAAGGAAGTTTAGCACACATTGCAAAACCTGGTGCCCCTGCAGATTAACCTGGGCAACCCATACTCCAGTTCTGGTAGGAAAGATTTGAAGTATATGCAAGTGGGGTGAATTTAAGAAGATCCCTGCTGGATTAGACCAATTATCCATCTGTCCAAAATTCTCTTTCCCACTGTGGCTAATCAGCTGCCTCCTGAAAGCTCACAAGCAGTTGATGAAGGTAATAGCCCTCTTCCAGGATAGTTCCCCAGGGACTGGCACTCGAAGGCTGTCAAAGATGAGCTTTAGGCAGCTGTCAGAGGTACCAGGAAACAAACCAGAGAGTCAGAACCAAAGAGTGCATGGAATATAGCACAGCCACGAAGACCTTGTTGTTCAAACAAACTTCCATCCAAACTGAGAGCCTTTTACTGACCTATCTATACAGGAGGACCCAGTAGTCAGCCTGGATGTGTGGAGCCTCTCCAGAGTGTGGGACTTCATGATCAGGAAGATATTCCAAGCTACCATTTTGATAGCTTGCCACCTGCAGCCATCACACACAGAACCAAAGGTTCTCAGTGATACCCCATACGCCATTTTTAAAACGAAAGACAAATGGAAATGAGCACTTGTTTCAAAGGGGAAAATAAATAGCTTCAGTTCTGCTATCCCAAAACTGTTAGAAGTCAAACCCAGTTCATTGCTTGGCACCTGCCAGTCCTTCCCACCTTTCCCACAGTTCCCCAAAACTACTAAGCAGCAAGTGAGTGGAAATAAACAAGAACTTGTTTCCCTCTGGACCACACCAGAAGTGCATCCAGTTCAGCATTGTTCCTGTCACAGTAGCCAGCCAGATGGCATGAGGAAGCCATCTACTCCATACAATGCATAATTTTATCATATCCCCCATCCACTTTGTTCTCTCAGAAAACCAAGAAATCTAATCTGTTGCTCAATCTCTGCAGCAAAGACATCTGAGTATTGCTGATATAAATGCTTAGAAGGTTTATCTTAAAAGTAAAACAATTACTAAAATTCCCAGAGGCTTTGTGCATGCTTAGCAGTTGTCATTACAGAGGGTGTGGAAGAGCACTTTACTACTGAGTGTTTTCTGCCACCTCTCTTGCTCTTTTCTCTCTCCTTTTTGTAATTTAGTATTGCTATGGATTCAGCTATTAGATTTCTGTGATTAGGACTATTGTTCTGGGTTTGTTTGATCTAATTTTTGGTCAGAGTCTTGGACTTTACAAAGGAATTCTAATATTCAAGTAATGTTTCTCAATGAAAGCAAATATTTAGAAGAGAAGGAAGGCGGAGGCTATGCTGATGTAATCTAGAGGTACTTTTTCCTGAAAATTCACCCCAAAACTTGGAAAGACCCAGTCCATTCCAGTTTGGGGCAGATGGGTTTGAGCTAGAAATGTCCTGCATTGGACCACAAATGACAAACAGGAACGCTACAGATAAGTGCCTGCTGGACAAATAGCATAAGATGGCTCAAGGAAACAAGAAAAGCTGCAAATTGCAGAAGACAAGAATAACAACTTTGGACAGGGCTGGTCTCGTGAGTGCACATACTGCAGCTGGGGCTCACAGACAGCCCACTGGGCTTCCACCTCCTCTTCCTGATTGCAGGCTGCTCATTCATCTACCTGGTACTCTGGTCCAGGTAACCATGGTAGTCACAGGAGCACTGGCTTGCTGGCTTTCTGCCTGTCAAGCTAGCGAGTAGTAGCCAGGTTGAGAAAGAGGATGAGGAGCAATAGCATTTGGTGACAGTGGTGGTGTGAAAGAGGGCCCCATTAAAGGTGCCTTGTCCAAGGGCCCTCAAAAAACTGAATCCATACCTCCACTATGTTAGCCATAGCTTTGGTGATATAGTGAATAACGAGCCACAGCTTGAAAACTTACAGGGGGAAAACTATTTTCAGCATGTTAATACAAATGACTTGTATATTTCCAGCATTCCCTTCAGAACCATAAAAGCCAGAAGGGAAGAAAAGAAGGAAGAAAAATAGCTGTTCAAGCAGGTAGACTGCCACACAGAGAGTGTACATACGCTACAGCCTTAAATTGGACTGACAGCAGTTCCTTCATTTGAGGGAAGCTTCGGTGCAGCTGCTGCTCTCCGACCATATTTCAGCACCAAGAATTCCCAGCATTCTCGTCAAACTACCAGTCCCATGATTCTTTGGTAGAAGTCATGATGACCCTGTAAATCCAGAAAATATAGGCATGAACACTTACCCCTATATTTTCTGGAGATTTCAGAGAGCCAATTGTATGAGTTGCCAAACTACTCATTGTCAGTGAGTCTTCTCCAAAACAAACATTTAGATTGCTGTGCCCATTGTTTGAAATGGAATGCTGTACCCCAGAATAGAGGTTTTACTGGGCCAAACGAAACAGATTGCAGCTTTTCAAATTGGAAAAGAACTGTAGACTCTAAATAATAATACGCTTGTCCTTAACAACCAGTAATAAAACTTTGGACAGCATGCTTGCATTCATGTTTTTGCCTATCATTTGATAAAAGGACCATTGATCAGATAAGTGCAAGAAAACGCAGAAACAAAATGTTTTATCTGAACTGCTTTTTCCATTAAAATAACTAGTGTTGCTCTCATTCTGCAGGAAATGAAAAAAAGTGCAAGCCTACAAAGGTGAAGGCTTTACTTTAGAAATAAATGGGATTAAGGCTGCAATCCTAAACATACTTTCTAGATAATAAATTTTGTTGAAATCAGAGGGAGTTTACTTCTGAATAAACATGTTTAGCTTAAATGCAGTTATTCCAGTTTAAGTGTATACTATATTAGGCTGTTATTCCAAGGTTAGATCCACCATTTTTATCATAATCAAAGTATAATGGAGTATGTGGGAACAGAATTTTAGCTGTTTGCTTGCCTCTCACAGAGGTGAGAGCAGTTGATTATATTACAAAACAGATTATCAGTATGTCCAGTACTTTTATCCCACTCTATGAAAAATAATCCAATGGACTATTGATACTAAAAAAGAAGTATTTGACTAATATGTCTTCTGCCCACTCCAAGAAGCTATCAGTTGATGATGCTGAATTCTTTAATATAGGTCCCTCTCCTTTCTCTTTCACAGAACTACAGTTGCCAAGGTTCTCTATGATGATTACCTAAGGAGACCTCTCCCTAGACACAAAGGGTTTATGCAGTCACAGTGCTGTGAATCTCTGAAACATGATTAAGAGATTGGAAATGAGCCACAGATGGAAACATGCCTTCCTCCCATCCTCTTCCATCTCTTCACTGGGCATGTTTTCCTTACCCTTTCCCACAGAATCTAATTGTGGTCAAGCATTTCATCAGTGCCAGTATCAACTCCGGCTTAATGCTAAGTAGCTTTTCTTTGAACCAGAGTTTGCTAACCAACTTCAAGCCCTCATTTCATGTCTTATGCATAATGCGTGGCCCTCGGCTGTTGTGCTCTGTAACTTCCACGATCCTTCACCATCGGCTATGGTAGCTAAGGCTGGAGGGAGTTGCAGACTAAGGCATCTGTGGGAGCTGAAGGGCAGAACACTGAAAGGGCCACAAGTTGCTTACACCTGCTGCACCATTTTCATTGCCAGTTTAGTTGGAAACCATTTATTTATTTATTAATCCTCTTTTAATTGCACAGAGAACAAACCCCATAGTCTCATGCACTAAAGAAGGAATTATACCTGACTATAAGCCAAAGCCACGCTTGCCGTGTTTCACTCTCCTTGCTTAAAAAAAGAATGATTAAGACCTCACACCTAAATCCCACTATCCCTTCTGTTACTGCACCTGTGTCACTCATCTAGCAGAGTCTGAAATATAAACTGCTATAAATAAACAAGTAAGGTAATAGACATTATCTTGGAGCATGGTAATCTCCGGATATAGAACCAAATTCTGTAAAGTATTAAGCAGCTCGTTTTACATTCTAGTTACCCAGTAAAATAAGGTTGTTTTGAAGGCAGCATTCTCTCTGTCTGTTCAGGTTTGAATTCCTTCTTTTGTTACCTCAGCTAGTGGCACGCATGGAAGTTCCAGCTCCACTGGCCCATAATAGAAGGAGCCAGTGAATGTGAGGGAGCCAAGTGAGATGGGCGTTTCTTTGTGCAATGGAAGTAGCCAGTTAACACAGACATTCCTCCATGCAAGTGGATCAGTTTCTCCCACAGAAAAGAATGAAGGAGTCCTTGCCTACACAGGAGCTCTGTGTGTATTCCCTGCATAGAGTTAGGAGTATGTATACACTGGTGATTTCAGTGGGCCTTAAAGGTACAAAATGAAGCAGAGGGTGCATCCTTCGAATCTACAAGTAAAGCAAGCAATTTTTTCTATAATCCATTTGACTTCTGAAGTCAAGATTAGAACTGGATTTTAGTTCTTGTTGACTCCTTTCCCCTCTAGGCATCTTTTTCAATCCACAAAAATGCTGCTCCTGAGCCAGCCAACATGAAGTATTTTTAACAATTGAATGGGACTGGAGTAATTCCCCCCATGAGGAAAAGATAAAAATTTTGAGGCTTTTTAAGCTTTAAAAAAGACAAGAGGGGAAATGCATAGAACTGTACACAGTGATGCATGGTGTGGAAAAATGGACAGAGAAAAGTTGTAGCTGCTATTTTTGTCTCTCTCTCTCATAATACTAACACCCAAGATCTTCCAATGAAGCTGCACAATGGGAGACTGAGGAAAGATAATGTCAAAAGTGCAAAGGCTGTGGAATTAGTTACCACAAGATACAGTGATGAACATCAGCTCACACTGTTTGCGATTAGACAAATATTTCCTCCAGTATCAGTACTTTGTGCCCGTGAATACCACTCACCAGAGGAATGAGAAAGTGGGGTTGCTGTTGTCCTCATGTCCTATTTCCGGGCTTCTGATAAGGTGTCTGGCTGGGCAGCATGGGAGCAGAATGCTTGGACTGGATCAGTTTTTAGTGTAAACCAGCAAGTATGCACCTATGCTCTTAAATCATCTATTTTGATGGGAAAGAGAGGCACGTAGTCACCCTTGAAACAGATCCACAGTGGAACACATTAGCCTTGACTAATATAGGTTTGAGGATTTCAGTGATTCTACTCTGACCTGGTTTGCCTGAGTGAGTTGTCAGTCTTGTTTGCTCAAGGTAGTCTGTCGTGATGTCCAAACCTTGCACAATTTCCTCAGCATGGGTTGTTAACCATGTACAAGCCACCTGAGGGCCCATGTCTTGCTGGGTTGTTCAGGCTGTCTGTTTTCAGAGTGGCTTGCTATGACATGTAAACCAGGCATGAGAGTCATTTCTGGTCATTTCACTTAAAGATACGCCCTCTGTGTTATACACTGAAATGATACCAGTCACTTTGTCATCTCCCAAAACTGCAACACTTTTAAAAATAAATCCTTGGGGAGATTTGCTCAAATTTAACATTTTTCCCACCTTCAGGAGACTTTTGTCTATTTAGTGTTTCATTTTTAACCTTTGGAGAGATTTGTGCGATTTAGCATTGTGTGTGTGCTATTTCCTCCCCAGAGAAATCTGTACAAATTCACACTATTGCACTTTTAAAAATTTGCACAAATCTCTCCAAAAAAATTTAAAAATGTATACAATTAGATTTCCACATATCTCCTCAAAGAGAAAAAAATTTCTAGTAAATATGTGGAAACCTGCCAGAAAATCTACAAAAGAAATTCTGTATCTGTGTTCATTAGCAGAGTGTGCAGGAGCAGGCAGGAAGACTAAGGGGAAAACATACTGTGGAAAGCTGCAAAGCACCTAATCATCTGCCAGGAATAATGCCGTTATTGACTGAATGGCCCATCAACCATGACTGATTTTCAAGGTGTCCTGTTGTGATGTGTGAACAGCCCTGTAAGGATGCTTAAGTCTTAGAGGCCCATGTGTTTCTTCCATTTACATCAGCAGATCAAGCAGCCTTTTAAAACATTGACTTACCAGAATATTTTAAAGATTATTTTTTCTCTTCAGTACTAGTATGATATAATGTTATGCTTACATGGGTTTTCAAAGAATAATGTAGTAATAATGTACTTTTTCTGTGGTTTTGTTTGGTGAAAACATGATTTGAGGGAGCATTATAATGAAAAAATTACAACTGCCAGCTAAAGTCCTCTTTTGTGTGCCTTTAAGACTTCAAAGGCAAGTAAACCAAATATGTTGAGTGATTTCTTTAAAAGAAATGGTTATTGCCTTGAAAACAGCATTCATTGAGCAATTGTAATATGATATTTTTATGTTGTATAGTAGCTATTCTTATTTCTAGCCATTTGTCTTGTTTTTTGTTTCTGCAGGCAATTCTACTGGCATTATCATTTACTATAAATGCTGTGTGATTACAGATCATAAATAAGTTGCAAAAACATTGTGTTTTGGCCATTTCTTTGTTGATTGGTGTGAATCAATTTTGACAAAGTTGTAAATAAACTGTTTTTTAAATTCCTTTAACAGATAATAGATTTGTCTAATAAGGAACACGAGACCTGCTTAGAATCCACCAATATGCCGGAGCATAAAGATGAAAGGTTACAAAATGATCGTGTTAAATTGCCAACAAACTCAAAAATACCTTTGCTGGTAAAGCCTTTTACATGCCATGGAACAAAGCATTCCAACCAGACTTCAGTAAAAATGCAAGAGAAAGAAGAGAGGTAGGTACATGACTGTGCACAAATAACTCTACTTTATCTCTTCTTAGCTGTTCTTTCCCCAAATGTCTTCATGGGGAGCAAGAGAGATGAATTCTATGATTTAATGTAAGAACTGTTTTGCTGGATACAGCAAGGCAGCCTGATCCTCTGGGAAGCTCGCAAGTGGGAAATAAAAGCAGCCGCCCTCTCCTCTTGTTTGATTCCAGCATCTGAGAACGCCTAGGCAGGCTGCCACTAAATTTGTTAAGGCATCTTATTTATTTATCCCTTATTTATTTAAAGCATCTTCACCCAGCTCTTCAGCTGAAAAAAGTTCCCAGAATAGCTTGTAGATCAGTGAAAGACAAGCTAGCCAATCCATTAAGCTCACAGTCTAAAAGATGAGATGCAAAAGGAAGAAAGTCTTCAGAGGTGGGAGGAAAAAAGAGAACTCAGCAACAATTTATAAGCTTCCAGTACTTACAATTACCTGCTGAGATGCAAACAGTTACCACTGCTTGGTGACCGTTGAAGGGGAGAGCCAGAGGCAGCTTGTCTCTCAGCAGAGCGGATGGAGTAGCCATGCTTCCTTCCTCTCCCTGTGCTCCAGCCTGATGGAAAGTTTAGTTAATATCCACAGACAGGAATTTGTTCGAACCTTATTTAAAAACCCTTCTAATGCAATGGCTACCACCACATCTTCTGCCAATGAATTCCACGCATCAGAGTATCATGTGTGAACCCTTTCTTTTGTCCGTCTCCAGAGTCCAGCTCAAGGTGCCCTTGGGCACAGATGTGCTTGCATTCCACTGTCACCTCTCTTCATATTTCTTCCCATCTGCCCCAACCCACCTTTGCGGCTCCCTTACTCAGCCTGGTCCTTATCACAAGAGCTCTCTTGTTTTATTCGCTCTCCCCCTCTCTGCAACTTCACAGCTCTCTTTCTGTCTTCTGCCACCTAACCATGGCTACCTTACACTCTCCTCCTCCATCAGGTCCCTTACACAGAGATACAACTGCGGCTCTGTTGTGTGTATACACACACTTCCCAGGAAGAGCTCTTGCAACTGGATTTTCTCCCTGCATGGAAGAACTCCCTTTACCCGCAAGCCCTGTGCACACACACATTCTCCCACCCCAAAATCTGAGGTTTGAAGGAGAGAACAGATCGAGAAGGCATTGCAGCGTCACCCTTTCCATCCCCTGGTGTTGCAGGTGTCCTGAGCCATTTCCTCTGGGCTGGAGGAGGGCACAGCCATTTCCATGCATAGGTTCTTCTGAGAGTAGTGAGATCTACCCAAAAGCACATCAAAAGAAATGGTACGAATTTCCCCGAAATTTCAAAATTCAGTGTGCTATCAACAGTTACCCAGTTTGTAGCTACAGGGAAAACAAAAGAATGATCACTCTAGTTTTCAATAAAAAGAAACATAAATGTAGTTTAAAACTGTAGTTCTAAGGAGAAGCTGAAAATACTCCTATTGGCTAACAAGGTGACATTGCTGCTCTTTTCCCTGACATTTTTAAAAATATTTTCTTAACATATACAAATACATAAAAAGAATATAAAACAGAACAACCTAAAATAAACAGAACAAACTAAAATGAACAAAGTAAGCAAAGTTGCCAAGAGAATTGAACTGAGAAACAAATGAAGCCTATACATTCAGTCCTCCAAAACTATCTATCTTCCATCTTTCAACGCTCTGTGAGAGTTTAACAGGAAAAAACCCCCTATTAACCTATGCAACAACAAATCTCCCATCACTTTAAGCCCTCTACTGCTTTTCTTTTTCTTTTCAAACTCCCCTCAACTCCCATTATTCATACTGAGCATAATAAAATTTCCATGTATCATTGAATTCTTCTAACAATCTTCTGTTTACATAGTCAACTATGCAATCACAGCATATTCTGCTCATCTATTTCTCCCTTCTTCAGTGCATTTTCCTTGTGCCTCTACCAACAATTCTCTCGCATTTTCACTCTGTCTGTTTTGATAGCATTTCTGTCACCTGCAAGGTCCCCAAATCTTGGCTCTTAAATTGAGCAAGTTAAGTCTTTTCCAGGGCAGGAAATGTGAGGGCTGTGACTCTCCAGTTATTGTTGCTGAGCTCACAGTCACATTTTGCAAATGAAGGAAACCTTGCCTCAATAGAAGCAGGTCTTTTGAGAGTAAGAAGGCAGGATTCCATATTGATGTAGGGTGGGGATGGGAGAAATTCTCTCGCACTCTACTGGTTCCTCCAAGCACATTCCCACAAAGGTATGATAGATCATCCCAGAAACTGCCACGACAATCCGTCTCTGGCATAGTTGTCTATTTTCTGTTTGGAGAAAGCTGGGTCTTCCCCAGTCCTGGCTTCTCCCACCTGGGTGAAGCATTCAGATCAGCTGCTGTTCAGAGATCACAGCTTTTCTATGATGAGAGGAGACAGGGCCTGGGAAGGAAGTTGCTGAATGACCCCGTTGTTTCCCTCCAAGACATACAGAGGCTTGCTGTGTCTACTTGTGAGTAAAGGTGCTGCTCATGCTTATCCCCAAGGAGACATGCCGAGATTTGGTATTTGGAACCCTAGTTTTGCCAAGTGATTCCTTCTTGCTTGATTCTGAGCAGGCAAGGAAAAACTTGTTCTGTTAATTTCTGAATAGAATTGTTTCTCATTCTTACCATGGAGTAGACATGCACGAGCTTGGCATTTGGAGAGCTATCTGAAGGTGCTGCTGGGTGATTCAGCCCGGCTTACCTATGAGAAAAGGGTGTCCCCATCTGGTAATGGTAGCAGAGCACCTACATGCCCTAAAGGGGATGCTGCATGTATATGCAACCTCCCAGCAGGTCCTGGATGTGACCTTCAGCACAGAAAAGTTTGTGTAACCCTGCTATTGACCTCTCTCCCATGTGGTATACAGTCTGTAAGTCTTGGAATCTAACTGGTGCTTGTCAGGCCTTTTGGACTTGTGTTGCTTAACATGTTTCCTTTCATATTCAGGATTATATACTTAAGTGAACCCTTTGAGTCCGCCAGGTATGTGGGCAGCACTACCCTATTTTCAGTGAACCCTTCTCACTTCCAAATTGATAGGCATTCAAGCACCTGAATTACTGTTACAGGACATGATTTTCAAAGGGATATGAAGCAATTCCTTCATCAAGGGTAGGAGCTTTAACTATGCAGTGGAGTCTTCTGCAACTGTAGAATTCCTCTAAAAAGGGGGTACTATAATGACTCTGCAAGAAGTTCGGTCTGGCTGTTTTCACAGCCTCTCTTTAGCTCTGCAGATGTTGAAAGTGAGCTTGCCCCCTTTTACTTTTCTGTAATGACACTTTAGGTCACTGTAGTTTATTGGGTGCTTGCTCTGATGATGCACTTGGAATTATATCAATTATAGCAGAGGCAAACCAATGAAGCTGAGCACACAGCCATCCTTCATGTGTTAACCAAGGAAGCAGACTCTTCCATAATATTCACAGAGCAATTATAATGTGATCGTAATAGGTTTCATGGCCCGAAAGAAAATGCATCTTTGATGGGATTGCTCAGCTCAAGACCTCTGCCAAGGAGAAAAAGGGGCCTTGTCCATAATAACCACTTTTTAGTAAAAAGTTTCATCCAGAGTAGAAAGTGAGCAAAACTACAAGGATGTGTAAAAAGTGTGTGTATTTCAAAATATCAGCACTGCCCTGCACTGTTATCATTTTCACAACTCCATCATGGCACATAGTAGGAAACACTGGATATAATCCTTACAAGAACTGGTAAGAGGTGGAAGCACCCCTCTAAGCTCCAGACAGAATTGGAGCTGAGGAAGGCTTGAAAAAATAGTAGATACCAACCAAACCATGAAAGTCTGCCATCTCATGATGGAACATGTTGGGATGTTCATTAAATTGCCTTTGTGTTCTTAAACATCTGTTCTTTCTTGCTTGTAGGCATTCTGCTAGGCTTTCTTCTAAATAATAATAAATTTACTTTACCTCTGTAACCAGCTAACTCTCTGTACAGATGGTACAGCAAGAATAGCCCCTGGAGCTTCAGAAGTCTTGTGTAGGATAACATTTTTGTTGGCATAATTCCAAGCAGTTTCCAAATTTAGGACTATACATGGATGCAAGCTTTCCTGATGCTGCAAATGTTTACTAGAAAATCAGTGTTATCTTCCTCCCCCAAAATAGTAATTTTCCATCTGTACATAGAAGAAGCAGGGGCATTTACCTGTTTGGGGAAACAAGTAAAACTGCTGATATTAAAAATATAGTTGTAAGCCAAGTCTTATTAATAAGTTGTACATAATTGTTCCTCCCAGGTTTTTTACCAAGACCAGTTGTTTCTAGGTTCTGGGAGTTTTGTGCCTGCAAAGCTAGAGCCCATTGGTTCCATTCTATGGTTTTATTTATTTACTTGAAGCTGTGCAGGCAGCTCATGACAATTAAAGCCATAAAATCCAACATCAAGTACGATAGAGAGGTTTAAAACTACAGTATAAAATAAAAGTAAAAGCCAAAACAACCTCCAATAGCACTGCAAAGATTTAAAATACAGCAAAATATTTAAACAGCAGAACTGAAAGACAAAAGTGCTTGGGAAAATAAGGTCTTTATTTTTCACCAGAAGAAGCATAACATTGGCACAAGGTGAGCCTCTCTGGGACCCCTTTTTGTCACTTTCTGTTTCCTAGTAAGACACATAGTTCCCTTGCTATGCTATTAGTTCTGCTCCTTTTCTTTCCCTTAAATTTTCCTTTTTCAAAGGTTTTGCTGAGGAAGAGAACCATCAGTCAAACTACCTATATTTGCTATTGATTTGTTAACCTTACTGACTTCTCTTCTTCTTAAAGTCAAGCTTCTCCATGATTTTAAACATCTCATTAATGAGAATCCTTAAGGCACTATGTTAAAAAGATTCTTACATGTATACTTTGTAGAACTGCATTAAGATGCAATCCTGTGGTCACAGGAAGGATGCTCCAGAGGCCATAGGATACTGTGGGCCACGTGCAGGGGTCCTCACTGGATGATG